CGGGGCAAGGAAAGTCATAAAACGGGGCACTTAACAAATGTTTCACATCTTCTACCTTGCTAAAAGGAGGGGGGAAAGTCAATGCCTTTTATTTCTTTTCCCCCTTGTCGCTCACACTTTCTTCTCCCCCCTTTTTCCTCCCCCTAATTCCTTATTTCTATTTTTCTTTGTATTTTATCTATTAAATAAATAAATAAAGAAAGAAATAAAAGAAACAAATGTTTCGCTTAGCAACGTAAATGTTGGGCTCAGTTGTAGGTCTTTTTCCTGCACAGGCTTTCCCGCCGAGACCATCATGTAGTCGTTTTCACGGAGGAAGGAGGGAGACCTCAGCACGCAGTGGAGCCTCCACACAGAGGAAATGCCAACTGCTTTTTTTTTGGGGGGGGGGCTCCTCACAAGCATCTCTTTTAAAAAAAACAGCTTGATTTTTGTCTATGGAGGTTCTCACTCATCCGGGTGATGCTTGTCCCAAAGGTGCTTTTTCCAGGAGGCAACTGGACTTTCTTGTGTTTCTTTGAAGAGGTTTCGCTTCTCATCCAAGAAGCTTCCTCAGCTCTGACTGGACAGTGGGGAATGGAAGGATTTATACTCCTTGCAGACAGCTGGTCATTTGCATCCTTTTAGAGAGTCATTGAGGCCATTTGGAGGTTTGTCTGTGTCCTCAGGGTCACCTGAGTGGGGCAAATGGGTGTGGAGCCTTCTTCTTTTCAGCAGTTCCAAGAAAGTTTTTAGCTTGATGTTTCATTTATCAGGCGCTCTCCTGTTGTGTGTTCCATGTCCTTCAGTAGTGATTGAGCTATACATGCCAAAAAATGCATACTTGCAATACTCAAATATATTAGATTTTTGTAATTTGTTCAGTTTCCAAAACTTCTTTTGGCTTCCCCGTTTAAACCAAAACAATCAGTGAGAATCTTTCTTTCTTTCTTTCTTTCTTTCTTTCTTTCTTTCTTTCTTTCTTTCTTTCTTTCTTCCTTCCTTCCTTCCTTCCTTCCTTCCTTCCTTCCTTCCTTCCTCCTTTCTGTCTTTCTTCTTTCTTTCCTTCCCTTCCTTCCTTCCTTCTTTTCTTTCTTTTTTCTTTCTTTCTTTCCTTCCCCTTTCTTTCTTTCTTTCTTTCTTTCTTTCTTTCTTTCTCCTTCCTTCCTTCCTTCTTTCTGTCTTTCTTCCTTCTTTCCTTCCCTTCCTTCCTTCCTTCTTTTCTTTCTTCTTTCTTTCCTGGCAGATCCAGAGAGACGAGAAAGTGACTTTGTCTCTGTCTGGGGAGAAAAAATTGTGTTCCAGGGATGGAGGGATTCCAGAGAGGGAGAAACGGAGGCTGCACAAGAGCAAAAATGCTCCTTCACTGGGTCTCCAGCCTCTCTTGCTTCCTTATAAATAATTTGAAGCAGCCACTAAGCTCCCGTCCATCCCCCCAGCCCCCCAAAATGAGAATTATGCTAAGACATAAATCGAAACAGAAGTTTCCATACAATGCAAACTTCATTAATTGGATGCTTCTGGGAAGGCTGAAGGTTTTGCAAACTCGACAACGGCAGTTGATGGCCACCTCGCTAACAGAAACAGTAAAAGTGATAGGCAAAGAACAAACACAATACATTTGGAAAGAGGAAAATAAATCAAGAAATGCAGAGATATAATTGGCAAGACAGACTTTCTTCCCCTGAACACACTACAATCCTTGGAAGTCACTGCAAGAAGGCTGGGATGCGAGTGTGTGCATAGTACTGTATGCACAAAACATACTCGCATATTTACGCAATTAAAATATCTGTTGACAGGTGGACGCTGAGGACTAGCAGCTTGGCAAGGCTGGCTCGAGGAACACTGGCCCTGCCTCCCAAGTTCTCTTTTTGCACACATGGCTCCATTTATCTTAGGATTCTTTATAAACAGGGGGGGGGGAACCTGATTATTTTGTTAGCTTCCTTGAACAACACTCCTGAAGTCACTGCAAGAAGGCTAAGATACAAATGTGTGTGTACCCGTGCACAAAACATACTCGCATATTTACACAATTAAAATATCTGTCGACAGATGGACGCTGAGGACTAGCAGCTTGAAAAGGATGGCTCAAGGAACACCAGGCTCTGCCTCCCAAGTCCTCATTTTGCAGATGGCTCCATTTAATCTTAAGATTCTTCATAAACAATTTGTGTGTGTCTGTGTGTAATCAAATAATAAATTTAATTATTTTGTTAAGTTTAATTTTGTCCACCGGTGATGACTTCTCCTTAGAACCAGATCATTGTTTCCGTTTTGGCTTTAGCAGACCCTTCCGTAATCTTAACCTTTTGCAATTGCAACTTCTGCTTTAAATCCCACCTCTTCCATCCACGTTTCCAGCTAGGTCCAAATTTATTTTCCCACCTCTTTCTCGCTTTTTCCGGACCTTCAAAGTATCCTTTTGAGCCACACCTGGCCCAAATTCACCTAGGGAAATAAATGAAAACCCTGGCAGGAAACCCTCAATTAAAACAAAAAGGCTGGCCACTGAGAAGGATTTTTTTTCCCCTCTGCACACATAAAAGGCACTTCTGATTAAAATAAATCTGCCTGGCTAGCCTGCCTGTTAATTCCATTAGCATAGAAATAATGAGCGCGCCCTTTGAAGCTTGACCAGGCTGGAGATGACAGAGAATGGAGCCTCCTCCGTGAAAACAGGTAGAGGGGAGTGGGGAGGGGGCAATGGAGGGGCAACGGGACCCCAGAAAGAACAGCTGGATTCATAGAAACCGCCAAACACCCCCCCCCCCACACACAGAGACTTTTTTTCCTCCCCATTTTGAATTCATGAGAATCGCTGCAGGTCTCCTGCATTCCGCCAGAATCAAGCAGAAGATGAAAGCTTCAGAGAGAAGCTTCAAGATTGAAGGAAAGGCCTCTGAGCATCGACAGAGGGCCCTCCAATGCATCCGAGAGGTTAGATGTAGGAGATGACTTCGCTAAGCTGGAGGGAGGGGGTCAAAGGGGTCACCGGTCTTCAGTCCCTGGACACCCACAAATGATCTTAAGTCCAGCCCACCTTGAATTCTTTCTGTTCTTAACCCCTGCTCATTTTCCCTGACAGTTAGCACAGGCGGTCCTCGACTTACAACAGTTCACTTAGTGATGTTCAAAGTTACAACGGCACTGAAAAAAAAGGGACTTAGGACTGCTTTTCACACTTAACGACTGTTGCAGCCTTCCCCAGGGTCACGTGATTTACATCCGGACGCTTGACAACTGACTCACATTTATGACGGCTGCAGTGTCCCAAGGTGTGTGTGTATGTGTGTGTGTACGTGTCAGGTGATCCCCTCCTCACAAGAAAACTCAATGGGGAAAGCAGGTTCGCTTAACGGCCGCGTGGCTCACTTAGCCACTGCCCCGATTCCCTCAGCAAACATGGTAAGAAAGGTCGTAAGATGGGGGCAAAGCTCACTTAAAGTGATGTCTCGCTTAGCAACATAACATTTTGGGCTCAGTTGCGGTTGTAAGGCGAGGACTCGTCGTTCATATTCTCGTGGAGAGCCTAAGCTTGCCATAAATCTTTGTACGTACACACACACACACACACACACACACAAAACGTTGACACTCTGGAAAGAGTGCAGAAAAGAGCAGCAAAGATGATGAGAGAACTGGAGACTAAAGCATATGATAAACAGTTGCTGGAATTGGGGATGTCCAGTTTAATGAAGAGAAGGACCAGGGATGATATGATAGCAGTCTCCCAATATCTCAGGGGCTGCCCCAAAGAAGAGGGAGTCAAGCTATTCTTCGAAGCACCAGAAGGCAGGACAAGAAGCAATGGATGAAACTAATCCAGGAGAGAAGCAACCTGGAACTAAGGAGAAACTTCCTGACAGAACAATTAATCAATGGAAAAACTTTGCCTCCAGAAGCTCTGAATGCTCCAACACTGGAGCTTTTTAAGGAGAGACTGGACAGCCATTTGTCCAAAATGGTATAGGGTTTCCTGCCTGAGCAGGGGGTTGGACTAGATGACCTTCAAGGTCCCTTCCAATATTGTTATTCCATTAAATAACAGAAGATGTTGGCTACTGGGGAGACTGCAGAGTTATAACCCATTGCTCTGGGTGGAAAAAGCATTGGCCAACTTCTTAAAACATTCCAGGATCAATCATCCCTCCTTACTTAATTTCTCACTTAATTTCGTTGTGAGTTACACAATGACAATAAAGATATTCTATTCTATTCTATTCTATTCTATTCTATTCTATTCTATTCTATTCTATTCTATTCTATATTCTATTCTATATTCTATTCTGTTCTATTCTATTCTATTCTATTTTCTATTCTATTCTATATTCTATTCTATTCTATTTTCTATTCTATTCTATTCTATATTCTATTCTATATTCTATTCTATTCTATTCTATTCTATTCTATTCTATTCTATTCTATTCTATTCTATTCTATTCTATTCTATATTCTATATTCTATATTCTATTCTATTTTCTATTCTATATTCTATTCTATATTCTATTCTATTATATATCCTATTCTATTCTAGTTTGTTTCAATGCATCTTCTTCGTTCGGCCCGTCATGAGCACAAACTGGACTTCCAAGCACCCAGCAGGCCAATGTTATAGTTCCAAGCACACACAACCCCCTTAATGGAGAAGCTGGAAAGATTCAAACAGGACTCTCTCCCTCCCTCCCTCCCTCTCTCTCTCTCTCTCTCTCTCTCTCTCTCTCTCTCTCTCTCTCTCTCTGTGTGTGTGTGTGTGTGTGTGTGTCTGAGGCCCGCCAGGACAGGGGAAGCTGAGACACATCTCCTGGCCCCGGGCTGCAAGATTTAATGGCAGCCGTTAGCTCGGCCGCTCAACAACATCACTGTAATTGCTTTCCCTGGATGAGGAAGGGGTGAATAGCCAAGGCAGCTTTGCCTAAACTCTCGGCTGCTCGCTGGGCTAGTTAGAACCGGTTTCCTTATCAAGATTCGTGCCCTTTGTCACCGGAGCCCAGCCGGCTTGAAGCAGAGAGAAAGCTCCTTGCCAGGGCCTTATAAAACGAAGCGCCTTCCTTTGCCGTTCCACAAACATCACCGAGGCCTTGGGACACAGCAAACAAGATGGGCTGCCTAGCTCTGACTTATTCCTTCACTTTGCTCATGGGGTTACTGCCGGCCGGGCCGGGCTGGGCTCATCCAGTGACGTGGAGTCCCTCTGGCCAAGATCTGCAGGCTCTGCAGGTAAGAGGTAGGGAGGACATGTCTCCTGGGAGGGCTTCTCTGGCTGGGGGACAGCGTGCAGTTGAGGGTGTGAGACACCACCGAGAGAGATGGGCGGTTAAGTAACAGGAAATATAAATCAATACATAAATAAAATAGAGGCATTTGCTGATCGAAGATCTCCAGTTTGCTGAAAATCCGGGTGGATCTCACGAGATCGCCCAATCTTGAGGCAGAGCATCTGCCAACCGTGATGTAGATGGTTTAAGTATAAGGCAGTCTTCTGCCACCTTCTTCTTAACAAGCGTAGAACCATGAGGACTAGAATCTCATTCAATTACTAAGTAGGAAACAGCTCAGCAACAAAACCAGGCTTTCCACAAGGCTTTGATGGTGCAGGGATAGATCCAGAGAGAGAGAGAGAGAGAGAGAGAGAGGATTCTGTTTTAAGAATGTTCCCGTTTTCTTTTCGTCCTCTCCCGTTTTTAGCACCTCCTGGATCGGCTGCGAGAAAAAATCCAGCAGGAGGATCTGGAACCTTCCGACTACGAAACCGGCGGTGCAAATGAAGATGGCGATTATCCCGACCTCGAAGGCGCCGAGATTATCCCTTCCCACCTGCCCAAACTTCAAGATTCCCTCTCTCAGGCACAGTGGAGGAAGTTCCTGGTGGCCTCCAGGAGATACTTCTCCGGATGTTTCGGAATCAGGCTTGATCGGATCGGGACCCAGACGGGACTCGGCTGCAAGTCCTACAAACCCCGTAGGTCCCTTTTGAGAGTTTCACAATGCAGGGCTGTTCAAACAACCCCCACACAGGCCACGCACAAAAGAACCACTCTGAACCAACCACACCAGGGGAGAAAACGTCCCAACAACAGCCTTTGTGTCTAATATCTGCCCCTAGCAGGGTGGACTGCCCTCTGCTCTCCGTGACCCTTTTCTAAATTAAGATTCTCTAAATCTTAAAACTGGGGTGAAAATGGTCTAGTCTCTCCAGGAAAACTCAGCTGCTTGTGTATTCCTTCGCCAGTTTTGCAAAATGAATCCAAAGAAAGAAATAACCGTCAGAGGTTTGAAAGGCGAGAATTAAAATATCCGAGGCATAATAATGCATGCTACGTGTGTTTTTTTTCCCCTCCCCAAAACAGGAGAAGGGTGACAGAATCCAGAACACTTCTAGAATCCAGAAAGGGACAAATAAGAATTTGGGTTCCAAAATTCAATTTCCAGTTTAGTTATAAGTTGCAGGAAGGGGCAATTATGGTGGAAAGTCATTGTAGGAGAAACTTAACAGGGGAACGACAAGTTCTGCATGAGGTTCTTACAAAGGTAGACTAGATGTTCTTCAAGGCCTCAGCTCTACCTGTTGAATTCTGTTTCTGCTTTCCAAGGTGGGAGCGTTACCATATCACTCAGCTTCGTTCCCTTCCATGTTAAACTGCTGACCCAAAGGGCCTTTCAGCCTGTAAGGATTCTGCCTCCCTTATCTATTCTTTTCTATATTCTGAGATGACTTCTCATAAGCAGAAACGGGATTTAGGGAATCTAAAATTAATGTGGATTTTTGCCGTCTTTGGGAAAGAGGGAACCCCTTCACCCATTCCTTTTTTAACTTTCTGTTTCAGGTTCCTGGAGGAGACGGAGAAGCTGAATTTCACAACTTCTTCAACAATGTTTTCCTCCAGAAGTAAACGGAGAGCAAGGCCCTCGATACGAACTGTTCAACACCTGGAAAAAACATCACTTCCTTTTCATCCCCTGAGAAAAGATGCGCTCCATTTTCCACGCCGTCTAAATATTGTAGGAAACCCTTTAATATTCAGTACGAGTTATTCAATTCGACATTCAGACTAACAATATTCAACGGTTGTCCCTCCAGTCTTAGAGATCCTTTTCGCCCCTATCCTGGGGACCAAATCTGATTGTCACGAGCGTCAATAAATGTTTTGTAAAAACAGAGACTTGGGTTTTTGTCTAACGGAGGGGAGGGGAAGAGTCGTGGAAAGCAACTGCCCTACAAAAGGGAAGCGTCCAGACATCCATTGGTGAGCTCCAACTAGATGTGGCAATCTGGAGGGCATAGAACGACCAAGTTCTCACATCTCCTTGTGCACCTTGGTGCTTGCTAGGCTCTGAGCGAGTTGCAAGGCAGTGATATATAGATGAGTGGGTTCAGCACCTTGGACAGCAACTCATACACACACAAACTCCTTGGGTTTCCTTCTCTGTCCAGCTCCGACTGGATTTTTTTTCCCTTGACCTCCGAGGCCACCAGGCCTTTTCTCCCTCAAGGTCAAAAGTGACCTCAATCCAGATAGAAATTAATGAGCTACTGCAAGGTTTTCTTTGCTCTTTTCCAGTTCCCTTGCTTAGTCTCTCCGACACTGACATTTAGCGGTTGACTGCCTTTGAGCGCGGAAGGCCATCCCCTCATGCAGCGGCTTACGATAGCAGAAAATTAAGAACACCACCATTTTCATCTTCCATTAAACACACCTAGAGTGGTAAATGAATTGTTCTCCCGGACACATTTCCCAATTTCTGGTATTGATCCTAAGAACCTCAGCCAGGGCGGGCGTCAACACCCATCAGGTGGCAAGGATTTCTGTACTGGCTGGATTCATTCACTGAGCTGGGATTATTTCTTAAGTTTGATTTCTTGGAGATTCTCAGCCATTCAGTTGAGACAAAAACCACAGAGGCCAAATTCTCACACTTGAGTTCAGCACAGAAAGAAAGATAGCATGTGATGACTGAGCATGTACAAATTCAATTGCTGGAAGAAGAAGAAGGGGAAAAAATCTTCTCTCCCCCCCCAATACCTTGCAGGCTTTTTATACACAATTCACAAGCACACACATGCTATCAAGATCAGATCCTCCATCTTCAGAAGCACTCTGCCTGCAAAGAAGAGCAATTTCCCTCAAGCGTTCGGAAGCAGCTGGGTTCCTAGGTTGTACACGTCTGTGAGTCTACAACCAGTTAACCTTGCTTTGTAGTTTTCATGGTTCAACAGATCACAAAATGGGTCGCTTCAGGTTCGGTGCGCTGCGTGCTTTGTGTCTACAACTTGTGTTGGAGGAACAAATAACTTGACAACTATCAAAATCAAAACTCGCAGAGAGAAAAAAAGCCCCAATATTTGGGGGCAGAAAGTGCTCTCCGTAGGCCATATAGGGTGGCAATAAATGATGTGTATGTTAGACACCAAAATGTCTGCCTTCCTTTGTGCCATTTCTATACAAGGCAGTTTCTGTGGGATGCCGTTTGCCCCGCTTGGGAAAAATGAAAGGCAAGGCCATCGACCTGAAAAGGGGAGAAAATCTGAAGAATGCCCAGCCAGGGATGGTGTGTAATCTCGGCTCGTGGTATCGACGCCGAGGTCCGGCAACATGAAATCATTGACTTGTGACTCGCATGCCTCTGAAAACAGCCGCTGCCCCGTGACACCTAATAAAGGGAATCTTCTCTTGGAAAATGCAGCATGCCAGCGACAGCGCTGGAATGTGCTCCAGATAACCCAGGAAAGCGGATTCCGAAGGGTATATAAGAACTCGCGGGAGAAAGGAGAGCACCAGATCTGAGAGAGAAGACCAGAAGCCACCTCTGAAAACAGCCGACTCTGATCTCCGAGAATGGATGCTAAGGGCTCGCTCCTCACCGTTGTCGCCTTGGTGTTTTTCCTCTGCTTCCAGCGTCCGGCGGCTCACCCCATCCATGGCCTCAGCCCGGCCGAGGAGCTAGCCAATATGGAGGTAAGAGAACGCGGTCCTTGGGGTCCATCTGGACTTGAGGCTTATCCAATAGGCGCTGGCAGAAATTCTGCCTGAAAATTTCGTCTGAATGTCTATGGAGATTCTCAGTCATCCGGGTCGAGGTTGTCTCAAAGATGCTTTTTTTCCACTTGTTTTTTTCTTTGAAGATGTTTCGCTTCTCATCCCAGAAGCTCCTTCGGCTCTGACTGGATGGTGGGGAATAGAAGGATGTATACTTCTATGACCAGCTACCTGCAAAGAGTATCAATCCTTCCATTCCCCACCATCCAGTCAGAGCAGAAGAAGCTTCTGGGATGAGAAGCGAAACGTCTTCAAAGGAAAACAAGAAAGTCTAGTTGTGTCCTGAAAAAAAAAGCATCTCTGGAACACTTTGTCCAAAATGGCATAAGGTCTCCTGCTTGAGCAGGGGGCTGGGCTAGAAGACCTCTGAGGTCCCTTCCAGCTCGTCTGCCTCATAATAGCCACAAGCCTCTTAGAGAGAGAATTCTTTCAGGAGCTATTACTTGTGGGGGAACCAGGTTCAGGAGCAGTCTATCCTAGAGGAGAACAGTTAATGTCACAACCAGGTCACAGATTGGCTGACTCCATTGGAAGCGGGTAGACCAGGGGTAGGCAACCTTGGCTCTTTTATGATTCAAGGACTTTGCTGGCTCAGGAATTCTGGGAGTTGAAGTCCATGAGTCATAAAAGAGCCAAGGTTGCCTACCCCTGGGGTAGATGATGGCAAAGCCTGTGCACTTTCGGCAGAAAAAGCTGGTGCGTTTAGCCAGAGATAAGAGATTGGACAACCATCTATCTATCAACTATGCCCTGAGAAGTGCCAGTTTCATTTCTATTTTTCTCTCGTTTGCTTTGTACACTTTTGAGTTTTGAGCTACCGACTGGCCCTCTCTTGCGAAGCTGGAATCACCTTTCACAGGTGTCGATGGAGATTCCCAGCCATCCAGGGGAGGATTGTCCCAAAGATGCTTTTGTTTTCATGAGGCAACGGGACTTCCTTGTTTTTCTTTGAAGACGTTTCGCTTCTCATCCAAGGAGCTACTTCAACTCTGACCAGATGGTGCGGGAATGGCAGGATTGATACTCCTTGCAGACAGCTGGTCATTTGCATCCTTTTAGAAAGTCATTGAGGCCACTTGGAAGTTTACCTGTGTCCTCAGGGTGACCTGAGTGGTGGAAATAGGTGTGGAACTTCCTTGGAACTGCTGAAAGGAAGAAGGCTCCACACCCATTTGCCCCACTCAGGTGACCCTGAGGACACAGATAAACCTCTGAGTGGCCTCAACGACTCTCTAAAAGGATGAAAAGGACCAGCTGTGTGCAAGGAGTATAAATCCTTCCACTCCCCACCATCCAGTCAGAACTGAAGAAGCTTCTTGGATGAGAAGAGAAACGTCTTCAAAGAGAAAAAAGAGTCCAGTTGCTTCTTGAAAAAAAAAAAAGCACCTTTAGCAGGATAGAAAAATGTGGATGCTGGTATCCAGTGGGAATAAAATTTAAGGCTCCATCAGTTGTCTAGGACAGGGGTCCTCCACCTTGGCCACTTTAAGACTGGTGGACTTCAACTCCCAGAATTCCTCAGCCAGCAAAGCTGGCTGAGGAATTCTGGGAGTTGAAGTCCACCAGTCTTAAAGTGGCCAAGGTGGAGGACCCCTGATCTAGGAAGACAATGCCCCTCTTTTTTTGCAATAGACTTGACCGCCTCATTCTGCAACTGACACAAACCTTCTCGATTCCCACCCCACAGGCTCTCCTGGAGACGTTGGAGGAAAAAGTGGCCTTGATGGAGGACTTACAAAGCAACCCTGAAGACTTTGAGATCCAGGCCGAAGATGACCTGAACGATCGGCCTGCGGCCGACGACTTCCCCGTCTTCTCCGACCGGACGGCTCTGCTGAAACACATACGAGGAATTCAGGCAGCCAAAAGCCTGAGAGAATCGGGCTGCTTCGGCCGACGGTTGGACCGGATCGGATCCGTCAGTGGGATGGGATGCAAAGGTGAGTCGATAGCTATTTTCTGATCCATTATTAAGCCCGTTCGGCGGAATCCCACCCACCCCACGCTGGAAGCTTTCAAGAAGAGACTGGACTGCCCTCTGTCAGAAATGGGGTAGGATCTTCTGCTTGAGCAGGGGGTTGGACTAGATGACCTACAAGGTCCCTTCCAACTCTGTTATTCTATTGTTCTGTTCTGTTCTGTTCCGTTGCGTTGCGTTCTATTCTATTTCCTATTCCATTCCATTCCATTCTATGCTATTCTATTCTATTCCATTTCCTATTCCATTCCATTCTATTCCATTCCGTTCCATATTCTATTGCATTCTGTTCTATTGCAGTCTATTCTATTCTTTATTCTTCTATTGTATTGTATTGCATTGTATTCTATTCTGCAATTTGCATTCTATTCTATTCTATTCTATTCTATTCTATTCTATTCTATTCTATTCTATTCTATTCTATTCTATTCTATTCTATTCCATTCTTCATTCCTTCTATTCTGTTCTGTTCTCTATTCTATTCTCTATTCCTATTCCATTCCATTCCATTCCATTCTATTCTATTCTATTCCATTCCATTATTCTATTCTATTCTATTCTATTCTATTCTATTCTATTCTATTCTATTCTATTCTATTCTATTCTATTCTATTCTATTCCATTCCATTCCATTCCATTCCATTCCATTCCATTCCATTCCATTCCATTCTATTCTATTCTATTCTATTCTATTCTATTCTATTCTATTCTATTCTATTTTCTATTCTATTCTATTCTACTCTACTCTACTCTATATACTCTACTCCACTCCATTCCATTCCATTCTATTCCATATTTTCTCTACTCTACTTTCACATTTCTGAGAAAAGAAAATACTGTTTTTTCCCCCTGAATTATTAAAAAAAGGCTCATTGTTGCTCTCCAACACAGCCAAGTTAATATTATCTACAACAGTATTTTGACACCAACTTTGGAGATAAGGGAGAAAAGTGAGCTTCTGTTTTATGTTGAGGCTGTCACCACCCCTCAGGAAAGCAGTCGACCAGAACACCCATGGCAAATATTAGCCCCTTAAAGAGAAAGGGACACTCCCCAAAACCAGGGTTATCTCCAGGAAAAAAGCAGTCGGGGAAATACTGTAGCTATCAAAGCCCCAAATAAGTCCTGATCCGATTCAAAGCTTTGCTTTCCTTTGCAAACTTGCAGCTGTTTTCACAAGTTGTCTTAAAAACAACTTAAAAAAAAAATCTCTTTCACTCCTCATTATTTCTACAAGGGAGGCTGCCTTTATTTAGAAATATAAAAAGTCCTCAGCAGAATTCCTAGTTGTTGCTGTTTTTTCCAAAAGGCAACTGGGTTTTCTGGGGGGATTTCTTTTCATGTTTTTTTCCTTGAAAAAGTTTTTTTAAGGAAAAAAGTGTTGTCTTTTGAAAAAGCCCCTTCGGGACAACCGTGAGCCGGGTGTTTGAGACTCAGCTGAAGAAACGGGGGCAATATAGGTGTAAAGTTGAAAGAGTTAACTACAACACTCCCCATTGTTTCACCTACCACAGACATTTGTAGGTAATCCTCAACTTACGACTGTTCATTTAGTGACCGTTCAAAGTTGCAACGCCACTGAAAAAAGGGACTTAGGACCGTTTTACACACTTACGACAGTCACAGCATCCTCAGGGTCACGTGATCAAAATTCAGATGCTGGGCAACTGACTCGTATTTACGACGGTTGCAGCGTCCCAGGATCACGTATTCCCCTTTTGCGGTTGTAAGTTGAGGGTTTCCTGCATTTGGCCTCTGGCCTCAAGCAAACGCTCCCACTTCTTGGGACCCCAAATTAACGTGGTGACGCTCAGCATAAATAGTTCTCCAAATGAGATTTTTTTTCTGTCTCTTAATCCATTTTTTTTCCCGTTTCTTTGCTTTCAGGATTCAGAAGACACTAAAAGCAGCTCCTTTTTCCCCGGGCGTGTGAATTTCCGAAGATTTATTTTTTTCCAATCTGTGGGCACTGGAACAAGACAAGCCCTCCGTCTATTTATTTATTTATTAACTTATTTATTACCTTCCTTTGTTTGCTTCTTTTTTCCCCTCCTCCCCTTTCCTTTTTCAAAAAAAAAATGTTAAAAAAAGTTTTTTCTTATTTTCAGCACAGAGAACTTAGCCTGAAACGATCATTAAAAACTACAATTATCTTACTCTTTGGTTTTTGGTTTTGTTTTTTTGTGGTGTGGGATTACACTGCGCGCTTTCAACTGCGTTTTACACAAGTTTGCTATTTCCCTTCCCTCTTTTTTTTTTTAAAAAAATATGAAATTTGCACCGTCCCACGGCCTCCATCCACACTCCAGGTAGATCTCTACAGGCCTGACTTGCAACAGTTTGTATAGCGACACTCAAAGTTACAACAGCACTGAAAAATGTGGCTTATGACCGTTTTTCAGAGTGACGGCCTTTACAGCATGATTAAAATTCGGATGCTTGACAACTGACTCCTATTTATGACAGTCGCAGCGTCTTGGGGTCACGTGACCCCCAACGACCATCTGACAAGAAAGGCAATGGGGGGAAAGCCGGATTCATTTACTTATCAACTGCAGTGATTCGCTTAACGACCGTGGCAAGGGAGGTCGTAAAAATGGGGCACAACTCGCTTAAATGTCTCACTTCACAACAGAAGTTTTGGACTCAGTTGTGGCGGTAAGCCGAGGACTGCCTGCGCAGGGCTTATAAACGCTGCACACTCAAAGGGACATCCCCATTTTTCACATACTGTGAGGGACCTCAAAATATTAAAATGGCAGCCAAGCGGCTAAGGCTAGATTTGTCCCTCTGAAGGATTTAAGGCAGACATGTCAAACCCAAGGCCCGGGGACCGGATGCGAACGCAAAGTGGTTTCATGCGGCCCGCGAAGCCATTCTGGAAACAGTGAGGGAACGGCCCCCACTGCCTTGGCCCTGGCCCAGGCCGGCCGGGAGCCCATGTACAATTTTGTGGTGGCCATCTATGCTGAAATGCATTCAGTCTTAGCTCCACAAGGCTGTCTGGAAACAGCGAGGAACCGGCCCCTGCCGTGTCGGCCCTAGCCCCTGGATGCATGCTGGGGAGGGGTCACCCTTTGTGAGGAATGAAGAAATGGACCATGCCTTGGCGCTTGCCTCGGTCCCACCCCCTTCTGCCAGAGACCCTCAGATCTGTCCCACTCCTGCCCAGGCCCCCACAGGCACTCTTGACGCAAATGATGTAGAGTAGGCCACACCCACTCCATCCATGTCCACCAATAGGCCGCGCCCACCCTGGCCACACACCCCGCCCCCCCCAAGGGCAACCACAATGCTGATGCGGCCCTCAATGAAATTGAGTTTGACACCCCTGGTTTAAGGCATCCGAGTCCTTCCCTTATCTCTCTATCTATTTTCTTCTTTTTTCCCCTCCGTCTACAAACAGAGTCTCCAACCTTTTTGGTTTGGCGGCCTGGAAAGGGAGGCAGGCACCGCTATGTGCACACACACAAATGGGTCACACGCCTGCGCACCCAAAAATGAGCCCCAGGTGCACGTGCACAAAATGGGTCACACGTGAGCACGTGTGCATGTGCAAGCGGGGTTGTGCGGGCATGAGGGCTGCAAATGGGCGGCACGAGCGCTGGCGGGATCCTATGGGTGGCGCTAGCACGAGTGTGGGGGGGTGGCCAAGTGGCCGCGGCCCAGTAGTGGTCCTCGGCCCTGATCTAAAATACAGGCAGTTCTCGACTTACGACCAGAATGGAGCCCAAAATTTCCATTGCTAAGCGAGACATTTGTTAAGGGAGCTTTGCCCCATTTTACTTAACTAATCCAGGAGAGAAGCAACCTGGAACAGAGAAACTTCCTGACAGTTAGAACAATTAACCAGTGGAACTCCCTGCCTCCAGAAGCGGTGAATGCTCCAACACTGGAGGTTTTTAAGAAGAGACTGGACAGCCATTTGTCCGACATGGTATAGGGTTTCCTGCCTGAGCAGGAGGTTGGACTAGATGACCTCCAAAGTCCCTTCCAACTTTATTATTATTATTACTTCCTTGCCACAGTTGTTAAGTGAATCACTGCAGTTAATAAGTTAGAAACACGGTTGTTAAGTGAATCTGGCTTCCCTCACTGACTTTGCTTTTCAGAATGTTGCATGACCCCGGGAGGCTGCGACCGTCATAAGTACGAGTCAGTCGCCAAGCATCTGAATTTTGATCATGTGAACCACGGGGATGCTGCAAGGGTCGTCAATGTGAAAAAAAGTCACAAGTTGCTTTTTTCCAGGGGCGTTGCAACTTTGAACGGTCATTAAACGAACTGTTGTAAAGCGAGGACCACCTGTAATTATGTTCCGGCCTGAGCAGGTTCCAAATGAACGAAAGTGACGGTTTCCGGATCTAAAGCGGGGGGGGGAGGGGGGAGAAAATGTCACTAATCTGAGATGAGGTGGCGGGGAAAAAATCAAATCAATAAAGAAATAAATAGCAGTGGAGAAGATCCATTTAAAATGCCAGCAACATTTCTGGACAAAATGGCGTGAGATTGAAATGTGTCAATCTTGTTTGGCCACACCCAATTTCTGCTTCAGCCACACCACACCCTTTGCCCCGCCCAAATACAGCTCTTGCTATTTTATCCCAACATTCTTGCTCAAATCCTTGTGTGTGTGTGATTAAGCGTGAATCACCTTCCTTCACTGGGTAGGTGGAGGGCTATTTCCCCGAGATAGGAACTATGCCGTCAGCGTAGTTCTTCCCCCCTGGGGTTTATATTTATATATCCTGCTGCTGATAAAAGTAAATGAAAAGCCTTCAAAATTTAAAATAGTAAGTGGAATTAGCTATAAGAGGAAGTAGCTTCAAGAGGAAGCTTTAGCTGAAAGATAAAATTGAATTGGATAACAGGAAAACTAGCTGAACTGAAAAACAGGAAATAACCTATTGTTCTAAGGAGCTGTAAAATATCCCCAGAACTCAAAACAGGTATCTGAGCATGCCTAATTAGTGGATTAATATTATTTGACACACCTTGCATAATTACCTTCTAATTTTAACGTACGTGTGATATATGACTTAGTATGTAGCAGTAAATATGTAGGAGGCGGTCAGGAAGAGCGTAACCACATAGTACCTCAGCCAATGGGGAACGAGGAGGGATATGGCAGCCGGGACAGGGTTGTATAAAAGGGGGAATATTTTGTGTTGGAACTTTGGAGAGAACCAAGCTCTGATAGCTTCTCTCCCCGCTTATTGCAATAAACGAAACAGAAAGCCTTCACTGACCCTTGGCTGGTTATGGGTCAGGCTAGCTTGCCTCTGGTCACAAAAGGAAGGTAGCCAGGAGCAATAAGGCTGCCACACTCAGAAGATTTTCCACGGGGAAAGTTAAGTGTTTGTGCCTTTGGTTCTGCAGAAAACCCATTGCCCTGGAGGTTAATCCAAGCAGCTTAGTTTCTGGAATACTTCTTGTTTGCTTGATAACAAAATCAGGAGCAGAGGAGAATAAACTAAATAGTAGATGTTAATCTTCTAATCATGGTTTTCCCAGTTGCAATGTATGGCTGCGAAAGTTGGACCATAAGAAAGGCTGAGTGCCAAAGCATGGAGGCCTTTGAACTCTGGTGCTGGAGAAGACTCCTGTGAGCCCCCTGGACTGCAAGGCGATCCAACCGGTCAGTCCTGGAGGAGATCAACCCCGACTGCTCTTTAGAAGGCCAGATCCTGAAGTTGAAACTCAAATACTTTGGCCACCTAATGAGAAGGAAGGACTCACTGGAGAGGTGCCTAATGCTGGGAAAGATGGAGGGCAAGAGAAGAAGAGGGCAAGAGAAGAAGAGGACGACAGAAAAGGAGGTGGCTGGAGGCCTGAGCTTCAATGGATTCCAGAAGATGGTAAGGAAGGCCTGGAGGAACGTTGTCCATGGGGTCGCGATGGGTCGGACACGACTTCGCGACTAACAACAAATTTTCGCTCAGGAGAGGGGATTCCAGACTCAGGAATGTTCACGTCATAAGCCAACCCTAGTCTTCTACAGGTAGTTCTCTACTTACGACCACAACTGAGCCCAAATTTTCTCTTGCTAAACGAGACAGTCATTAAGCGAATCCGGCTTCCCCCATTGACTTTGCTCGTCGGAAGGTCGCAAAAGGGGATCACGTGACCCCCCCCCCGTACGCTGCGACCGTCATAAATATGAAGTAGTTGCCGAGCATCTGAATTTTGATCAGGTGACCACGGGGGATGCTGCAAAGGTCGTAAGTGTGAAAAAATGGCCATAAGTGACTTTTTTCAGTGTTGTTGTAACTTTGAATGGTCATTAAATGAACTGTTGCTAAGTCAGGACCCTTCCTGATTCTTTGGGCCGATCACGGCAAAGGATGAATAAAAGGATCCCAAACTACAAGCTGAAATAAAGCAGAGAAATCGGGGTGGTTGGGGAGGGGGTGTCCTTGCCCCTGGCCCCGGAGGGAGTCTGAAGCAGTACAAGGATGTCCTGCTTAAAACTCAAAATCAAAGGTTTTTCTCTCCCACCTCGAGCACAAAGTCCAGAAGTGGTTTCCAAGGAGCAACAAAAGCAGTCGTGTGTTTTGTCTTTAATCAAAGCAGTCGGTTTAGCCAACTCTGCTAACTCCCGTCGACCTCTGCAGCCATTCATCCCTTGTAAGTTTGTTTTTATAGAAATGGCTAGGTTAAACTTTTACAGTATGTAAAAGGAAAAAGGTTGAGGTTTGATATTATTATTTTATTCTACTCCACCTGTGGGATCCAGAAGTTAACACCTTTTCTTTCTATTTTCCCTTTCTTCCTATACTTTTCCCTTCCCCTTTTCTTCCCCGATCTTTCCTATCATTTTCATTTATTTATTTATTTATTTAATTTTATTTATTTATTTATTTATTTATTTATGAGACTTATATACCGCTTTTAAGTGCGAGCACTCTCTAAGCGGTGTACACCAGTAAGCAATGTATATATAAATATTTACATTGCCCCCAACAATCTGGGTCCTCATTTTACCTACCCCGGAAGGAGGGAAGGCTGAGTCAACCTTGAGCCGGTGAGATTTGAACCGCTGACCTGCTGAACACAGTCAGCTAAAGTGGCCTGCAATACTGCACCCTAACTGCTGCGCCACCTCAGCTCTTTTGCAGTTTTGTGTCTGATATTATTAATAAAAAGAATTGAAAAAAATAAAACAATGCTCCGCCTAGTTTGCCACACTCATACTCACATTACCAGCATCAAATTCCTGGGTGTGCAGTTAACAAGTAGGCTGGCTTGTGAGACACTGGTGAAGCAGGCACAGCAGCGCCTGCATTTTCTGCGTTGCCTGAGAAAAGCACATCTTCCTTTCCCTGTCCTCACCACTTTCTACAGAGGGACGACCGAGAGCATCCTGTCATACAGCATCACAGTCTGGTTTAGAAGCATCCCTGCTTCAGACAGGAAGGCGGAGCAGAGAGTTGTGAGGACAGCAGAAAAGATCATTGGCAGTTCTTGCATCCAGAAGTGTTGCTTGAGCAGGGTCCACAGAATTGTCTGGGACACTACACACCCTCTTCACCACCTGTTTTCCTTGTTACCTTCTGGGGGGGGGGGCTTCGTGGTATCCGAAGCAGAACATCCAGATTCAGTCGCAGTTTTGTTCCATACAGTATTAACCTTGTGAACTCTCAAGCTTCCTCCTTCCGTTATATATTCAAGATGGACAGTGATTAATATTTATATGTCACTTATACGTAAGGGTGTAGGCCTATACATATGTCATATATAGTATGTTTTAAATACTATACATCAGTTGCGCTCATGGACAATTAATGCAAAGAGTCACCTTGTGACAAGAGGGGCAGCCAATAAATTTAATTAATAAATAAAGTCCTGAAGAGGGCTGGGATGGGACCCATTTTGGAAATGCAACATCTCCTACGTTCAGGCACTAAGTAAGACTATCTACTCAACCATCAAAAGCACAAGTGTCCAGATGCAAGACCCTTTTCTCTATATCTGAGATGATATAGGTTCTCCTGCTTGAGCAGGGGGCTGGACTAGAAGACCTCCAAGGTCCCTTCCAGCTCTATTCTATTCTATTCTATTCTATTCTATTCTATTCTATTCTATTCTATTCTATTCTATTCTATTCTATTCTACTCTACTCTACTCTACTCTATTCCATTCTTTCCATATTCTATTCTATTCTATTCCATATTCTATTCTATTCTTTCCATATTCTGTTCTATTCTATTCCATATTCTATTCTATTCTTTCCATATTCTATTCTATATTCTATTCTATTCCATATTCTATTCTATTCTATTCTTTCCATATTCTATTCTATTCTATTCCATATTCTATTCTATTCTTCCCATATTCTATTCTATTCTATTCTATTCTATTCTATTCTATTCTATTCTATTCTATTCTATTCTATTCTATTCTATTCTATTCTATTCTATTCTATTCTATTCTAATTTCATTTATTATTATTTCAGGAAAGGTGGCTATAACACAGAGTCTGCCTTCCTCTTTTTGCATATCCATATTCTCCTTCCTTGTGGCAGAAAGATTTCCAAAGCCAGAGTATTCCCAGTAGCGGGATGTTGACATTCTATTCACCCCACCCATTCTACCATCTCCTATCTCACTGCTAACATGAGTGGAAAAAGTTACGAAAACAGAAAACCGTCGACCTGGCTGCCTGATGTCAGATAGCCTCAAAGCAAATAAAACAGCGTCTTTCTTCTCAGCCTTCGGTCCTTATTTATTTAGTGGCCATTAGCCCTCTCTTTCAAGTGGTCTTCTGTTGTCACCACCCGCTTCCAAGGGGACCTTGACCTGCATCCCCCAAAAGGAGGACTATGAAACATGATAGCTGTTTTTTTAAAAAAAAGTGCAGAGAAGAGCAACTAAGATGATTAAAGGCCTGGAGATTAAAACATATGAAGAATGGCTGCAGGATTTGTCTAGTCTAGAGAAAAGGACTGGGTGTGTGTGTCTGTGTGACGTGATAGCAGTCTTCCAGTATTTGAGAGGCTGCCACAAAGAAGAGGGGGTCAAACTATTCTCCAAAGCACCAGAAAGCAACAAAAAACAGCGGTTGGAAACTCATCAAGGAGAGAAGCAACCTGGAATTAAGGAGAAAGTTCCTAACAGTGAGGACAATTAATCAGTGGAACAGCTTGCCTGCATAAATCGTGGGGGCTCCATCACAGAGACTAGGCAGTCACTTGTCTGAGATAGGTTCCCCTGCTTGAGCAGGGGGTTGGACTAGAAGACCTCCAAGGTCCCTTCCAGCTCTATTCTGATTGAATCTCTTCTTGAAAACCTCCAGTGATGGGCCATCCAAACTTCTGAAGGCTTCCTTCCTTTTTGCATTCAAAGCTGGGGATTCTGCCTTCTCCAGTTTGGTATCCTCATCATGTTTTGACCCTATAAAGTATTTTCCATAATTAATGAAGGTTTGATTCTACCCTTCTTAAGAGGGACACACTCGGAAGGATTTTAATGCTGAAGCCTCCAGTTCTCCACAAACGCTCCACAAGATAAGCAAGAACCAAACCCCTGCCATCTGGTCTGTTGCACTAGCCACCTTTTTGCTGGCTGTATTGTCATTTTTTTTGTGTGTGTGGCTGTTGTGAGCTGCCCGGAATCATGGAGAGTCACGGAGCACGTTAAGTTTAACAAATGAGTATTCTTATTAAACCCTGAGCTTTGGGAGATCAGCGTACATCCAACATGGCTTGTTGCTGGGGTGTCAAGGCAGGCCCATGGTCCCCAGCCCATCGGATTTTCCACTCCTAAAAAACCCTCTCCCCCCCCCCACAAGGCTGTCTCCTAAAAGAGATAAAGAGGGATTTTTTAGCGCTTCTTTCACACCTAGGAAGTGTGAAAGCTCTCCAGACAAGGCCCAAGGAATGTTGGTGTCACGGGTTCCTCCCCCACTGTTGTGGTCCTAGCTGGAGGTTGCTTTCCACCCAAGGAAGATCACTTTAAAAGGGAATCTTCTCCTGGCTCCAGAGTCTGAGATTCTTGATTGAGTCAGGGTGCTGGAATGTGGGGTCCATTCTTCACGCATGAGCTTTGCCACCCTAAAGATATAAAGATAGAGGGCATGGAATCCACACGAACGACGGGCAGAGCGCGGAGACAGACAGGTTTCTGGCGAAGAGGATGGGTTCAACAATTCCTTTCCTGTTCTCCTTGTTCCTTACTGCCCACCTCCAAGGCCCATCTGGGGCCCAGCCCATCTCTGGGTCAGAACTAGCAGATTTCAAGGTAAGAGCCATCTGGGGTTGGGTCAAACCTGAGACATGCCTTGGCTAGCTTGGGGAGAACCTCACGTTGTTGATGGCACACTTGCTTGGCACCCCAAGATCCTAGGTCTACAGACAGGTCCAGACAGCAGGTGGTGGGAAGAGACTTTTCTTGAACCGATAGTCTAGTTGGCCTTCACCTTCTAAGTACAATCAGAATAGAGCTGGAAGGGACCTTGGAGGTCTTCTAGTCCAACCCCCCCCCCGCTCAAGCAGGAGACCCTATACCATTTCAGACAGGTGGCTGTCCAGTCTTTTCTTAAAAACCTCCATTGATGAAGCACCCACAACTTCTGAAGGCAAAATTGTGCTCGCTGTTAGGAAGCTTCTCCTTAGTTCCAGGTTGCTTCTCTCCTTTATTAGTTTCCATCCACTGTTTCTTGTTCTGCCTTCTGGTGCTTTGGAGAATAAGTGAACCCCTTCTTCTTTGTGGCAGCCCCTCAAATACTGGAATACTGCTATCATGTCACCCCAAGTCCTTGTTTTCTGTAAACTGGCCATATCAGTCTAAAAAACAAGAAAGTAACACTGATTAATAGGAGACAACACCCAATGCTATGACTGCTGTCTGGCCTTCAAAACCATGGACATAGTCACTGGAAGCTTGTATTCAACCCAGAAAGGATCTCTACTCAATGGGTTAGTGTCTAACAGACCAAGGACTGTTTATGATACATGTGTGAATTGGTCCAAGATAAGACGTTGTAGCGCAGTTGAGAAAAAGACCATTCATTTTGATCTTGCCTTGCTTTCAAGTCTTTAGTCATCTTCTCTTGACTCAGCTTCAAGTCTCCAGATCTACTACTCAGGGGCAGGATTTCCAGTTGTAAATATTTATTAGATCAAAGCAGACGTAGTTATGGGATCATCGATCCTGCTCCTGTTCACCAGCCCTGAAAATCTAGTTATGACACCTTGGTAGGAACCACAAAAGTATCTTCTCTTTCCCAAACTAGTACCTGAAACTGAAGAACGGTTGAAGGAATTGGGTACATCTAGTCTAGTGAAAAGAAGGACTAGGGGTGACAGGATAGCAGTCTTCCAATATTTGAGGGGCTCCAACAAAGATGAGGGGGTCAACCTATTCTCCAAAGCACCACAAGGCAGAAGAAGAAGCAATGGATGGAAACTAATCGAGGAGAGAAGCAATCTAGATCTAAGGAGAAAATTCTTGACAGTGACAACAATCAATCAGTAGAATGGCTTAACTTAGAAGTTGTGGTTGCTCCATCACTGGAGACATTTAAGAAGAGACTGGACAGCCATCTGTCTGAAATGGTATAGGGTCTCCTGCATAAGCAAGGGGTTAGATTAGAAGACCTCCAAAGTTCTTTCCAATTTTGTTATTCTGTTAAATTAATCAGCACAGCCTAATGCTGAAAAAAATGTTGAATTTTCACAACTAATAAGTGGTTGAAGACATACCTGGACAGCCCTAGCTTATTTTTTTTTCCTGGCATGATTCTTGGCTGGTTATGGGTCAGGCGAGCTTGCCTCTGGTCACAAAGGAAGGTAGCCAGGAGCACATAAGGCTGCCACACGCAGAAGACTTTCCTCAGGGAAAGTTAAGTGTTTGTGCCTTTGGTTCTGCAGAAAACCCATCGCCCTGGAAGTTAATCCATGCACCTTAGTTTCTGGAATACGTCGATCGCTTGATTACAAAAACTGAAAAAAAATGTTGAATTTTCACAACTAATAAGTGGTTGAAGACATACCTGGACAGCCCTAGCTTATTTTTTTCCTGGCTTGTCTCTCCATACCCTAGTGGGGATACAGACAACCACTTCAGTAGAGACCGACTTTAAGAGAAGAGTCTGCAAGACGTCTTTTTTCGTTTCCCATTTTGCTCTTAGGATCTTCTGCAACGGATTGAAAGTCAAGTGATGTTGGCAGAAAAGGAGGAAATTGAACGCGATCTGAAGGAAGCCAACGAAGGACCGGCGGGCGATGCAGACCAGCTTATCTCATCCTGGGATGGCGAATACTCAAGACCCCCCAGCGAAGGCGGCGTTGGCCGCGTCAACTGGCAAGCCCCCGAAAGAGCCCCAGCGGCAGCCGTGCGAAACAAACTGGGGGGTTTTTTCCGTGCCCCCCGCAGGTTATCCAGCTGCTTCGGACAACGGCTGGACAGAATAGGGTCAGTGAGCGGACTTGGGTGCAGCAGAAGACACGTAAGTTGCAACCTGGAGAGTTTCCACAATGTCAGTTAAATGGCTGGGGGAGAATCAGTTCAGCATCTGAAGCTCTGTTGACTAGGAAAGCATCCAAACCAGGATTTGGTCAAGTGGTCAGTATCAACTCCCAAGAGTTGATGGACCGAACCCAAGAGCAGTTAAATGGGAGTTAAGAAGTGGTCCAAAAAGGATGGAAGGTCAAGCTGGGGTCAATTAATGTTCTGTAGTCCCTAGTCCTGAAGATGAGGTGTCTACATCCAAACTCAACTGTATTCTTTCTCTGGGCCACGTTATGTGTATGTGGGTATATGCATAATTTATTTTTGTCATGTTTATGCAGTGTATATTGGAGGTGGTGACCCTTTGAGAGCTGTATGCAACAAAATCTCATTTTAATGTATGCTGATTAGTGTGCATTAATAGAGTTATTATTCTATTCTATTATAATTCTATTCTATTCTGCATTCTATTGCATCCTATCCTATCCTATCCTATCCTATCCTATCCTATCCTATCCTATCCTATCCTATCCTATCATTCTATTCTATTCTATTCTATTCTATTCTATTCTATTCTATTCTATTCTATTCTATTCTATTCTATTCCATTCCATTCCATTCCATTCCATTCCATTCCATTCCATTCCATTCCATTCTATTCTATTCTATTCTATCCTATTCTATTCTAATCATTCCATTCCATTCCATTCCCTCTTCATTCTATTCTATTCAGTGGTGGGATTCAACCAGTTCACACAACTTTGGCAGAACCAGTAGCTAATTTTTTGTTGCCCAGGCCCAGAATGGACTTCTGGAAGCGGCATTCACACAGAAAGCCAGTTGTTCACATATATAAATCCCACCACTGTTTCTATTCCATTCCCTCTTTATTCCATTCTATTCCATTCCATTCCATTCTTATCTGTCAGGCTGGGTGACCAGATATGGATGTTCAGCTGCCAGCAAGTTTGGCCTTGTCTATATCAGGGCTTTTCAACCTTTTCACCCATTGTACCCCTTTTAGGATATGGCAACATCTGAGGAACACCAGTCGCCTAGCAAGGTGTTAAAAACTTGACCCCCCCCCAAAAAAGGAAAAAAAGTGATAAAGTACAGGTAGTCCTCAACTTACAACAGTTCACTTAGTGACTGTTTGAAGTTACAATGGCACTGAAAAAGTGCCCTGCAAAAGGAACAGCCGAGAAAGACACCTGCCTGCCCGCTCGGCCGCGTTCTTCCTCCTGTGCGAGGTTTTCATTGTTGTGAGCATTTCTGTTGAGGATTGGCAGCGGGGGTGGGGTAGGGGGTGTTTGGTTTTTATTCCCGTCTGCTGGGTGGTTGCAGCAGGTTTTGGTCACTTCACATGACCCTGGGACACGGTGACTGTCATAAATATGAATCAGTTGCCAAGCATCTCAAAGTAAATCACAAGACCCTGGAGATGCTGCAACATTCCAGCTGATCGGCGCTTCTTCTGGGCTCAGCAGAAGCACCAGGATCAGTGCTGAGCTCCAGCTGGAGCCTGGTGCTGGCGCTTCTGCTGAGCCGTGATAGCTCCAGCCATTTCTCGCTCAGGCTTGTGCGGTGCTACCACCGGTTCAGCCCATTCTCCTCCTCCGCTACCACTTTTCTAGGATGGTCGCATACCACCTGCCAGGTGCCAATGTACCACAGGTGGTACTCATACCACTAGTTGAAAAGCCTTGGTCTATATTATTATCTATAGCACAGTTAAAGTACTATTTATTACATTACTTTCATATAATAAATGTTTGAGAGTGTGTGTGAACAATCTGAAACTCCAGAAAGGATCAATGAGCAGAATTTGGGGACCTCGGGTCTAAATGAAGAGAAGAGTGTTACCTTAAAAGCGTTTGCATTTATAAATTTATCTATAAATGTCAGCTTTTAATGGGTATCTCTCTTTCCAGATAAACAGAAAATGATTATAAGGAGGGTGGGAGCCTTTGAAAACTAGCTTCGAGAAAGGCAGGAAAAAAAAGTCAGTTTTCGGCTCCATATTTAATCCTATTATTCATGTGTTTTGATTTCTAAACTGCCTCCTTCCTGTAAAATAAATTCAAAATCTAACTTGGCCACAGGACTGCAATTTCCAAACATGGGTTGGTAGTTAAGGTAAAAAAAAAACAAACTTTTTTTTTCTTCTTCTTTTGCAGAAGTGAAACTGTGTGGAAGAAATTACCTCATAAGTAAAGGCATTTTTGTTTCATTATGACGAAGATTCTTCCTGCCAACAAAAAAATTATTACACTGATTCCAGAGTATCAGGATTTTGCTCCAGCTCAAATATACCCCACAGTGCAGTTGTGAGGTCCAAGCAAAACCACACAGCACCTGTAAATCAGCTGTTCTCAGGTTAAGAATAGGAAACAAATCCAACGTTTTACCCTAGTCACATGAATTTAAATGAATTTAAAGATCTGCGTGCTTTCCCCTCCGATCTATGCATTCAATCTCCTGGATAACTCGCCACTAGGAATTTTTAAATTCAGCACCAAGGACAGAGACAGGGTGAGTCCTTTCCACCCTGCCCAATTTTTATTGATAAATTAAGAGAATGTAACAATATCTTATCTTCTTCCCCATAAATAAAACCACTGAAGTATGAAGATAAGAGACTGTAACGGGGAAAAGTATTGTTTTCCAAAATTGTGCAGGCCAAGAAAATAACCTTAAAATGGCTTGTTGACAAAATTCTGTACTAAGGTATTTGTGGGAAAATTTGAATGATTGTGCCTCCTCATACTTTGAATTATTAAAGGAATCGATTTTGAGAGAGATTTTTCATCCCTTCTGGTTTGAATAGGCACATGAACAAGCCTTGTGCAATTGCTGGGATACAGTGAGAAGATATTTAATTATGGGCTTTATTTAATCTGCACACAACAAAGGCTTTGTGGAACACTGGTATGATTAAATAAACAAGACTTTAATGACCTTTGTGTGTAGTTATCTTTCTTGTGTGTATGTGTGTAAATGATTTGTGTAACTCAGCATCTCAACTGACTGTGAATTTACATTTTAACACAGAGATGTAGGTCTTTGGTTATTCGGGTTTTCTCCCGCATAAAATTGGAAGTGTCTTGGCAATCTTTCGACGAAGTCCCATTCGTCATCTTCAGGCTGGTGTTTTCGGCTTCGTGCTTCTAGGAGCAATGCTCCTAGAATATATGAGTAGAGTAGAATAGAGCTGGAAGGGACCTTGGAGGTCTTCTAGTCCAGCTCCCCGTTTAAGCAGGTGAACATATACCATCTCAGATAAGTGACTGTCCAGTCTCTTCTTAAAAACCTCCAGTGATGGAGTGACCACAATTTCTGGTGGCAAGCTGTTCCACTGGTTAATTGTCCTCACTGTTAGGAAGTTTCTCCTTAATTCTAGGTTGCTTCTCTCTCTCTCACACACACACACACACATGTGGGGATCGCAAAAAAAAAAAAAACCCACTCTACTTAAAGCTGTTTGCTCTTTCAGAGGTATCACTAGGATATATTGTTCCTCAGAAGGGAAAATTCCAGTTGACAAAAACTAGGCTCAGACACGCCAAAATGTCTTCAAAGCGGTAACAAAGAGGCTATTTCTGAGACAGAGCATAAAAACGACAAGATTATAAATAAAAAAAATTAACTATCTTTGCATTAAGTCAGTGGTTCTCAACCTTTTTAATGCCGTGACCCCCAACTGGTCGTAAGTTGAGGACTACTCAACCGGTCGTAAGTCGAGGACTACTCAACTGGTGCAGCACCGTTTGCAGAATGGGACTTTTGGCGGGCTCAGCAGGGCAGAGACAGCCTGGACAATTCCTATTGGCTTTTGAAAGCCAATAGAATTAGACTCTATTCAAGAGAGTCTATTCTATTGGCTTTCAAAAGCCAATAGAATAAAAGGGAGTAGCCCAGCTAAGGAAAAGGGGGGAAAAATGGCGGACTGCGTTGTTTGGCGACCCGTGAAATGGTTGTTCGACCCCAAATGGGCTCCCGACCCACAGGTTGAGAATCACTGCATTAAGTGCTTATTCAAGATGACAAATGACCCAGCAATTGGGCACGCATAATATAGGAAACTCGGCTATAGTAGTTTTAAAACTGTCTCTTTTTTTAATGCATTGGGAATTTAATGCCTTGGGCAAACTCCGGGGTGGACTGTTTTGTGATTTAACATTTGTGCCAATCCAGAGAATGGGCTCCTGAGGTTCAGGATACAAACACAAGGTTGCCAATAGCGATGGGAGAGAAATTCATTCAATGATGGAAAAACACAGCTGAGTGTATGATAAACCTGTTGCTGTTGCCTCTGGCTAATGTCCACGCGAAGTAAAGTCCAAACGCATCTGGGAGAAAGTGAAAGCAAGCTTTCATTTGTTCGGAAGCACGCTACCTTTAGATACCTTTGAATATCGTATCATGGAAACTAAGAGGAAGTTGTCAGAGCTCCTTTTTTTTAAGCATTCCAATAAGCTTTAAAACGTCTCTGGGTAGAAAAATGCTCATTTGCGAATATAGAAAAGAAATAACCAATCTCTCTTTTTTTGTTTTACTTTTCTTCCTCTTACTGGTAAATAAAAAAAAAATGCAACAAAGCTGAACATTGGGGGGGGGAAATCAAAAACGACGAGACTTAATGACAGAGATCTGGTGGACCCCAAAGACAAAGGAGGATTTTTATTGTTGTCTTTTTTTGGTAAATAAAATAAAAATGCAACAAAGCTGAACACGGGGGGGGGGGGGGGGGAGAATCAAAAACGGCAAGGAAGACTCAATAACAGAGATCTGGGCGGACCCAAAGACATAAAGGAGGATTTTTATTGTGGTCTTTTTTTTTTTTAAAGAGAAGAACCATGGTTATAGAATACAAGTGCTCAAACCCAAATTTATATATATATATAAATTTATATATATATCCAGCACATACTCTGCCCCGAGTGCTTTGAAACATTATTAAAAAAACAAAAATGTTACGCACACAAACAAAAAAATTAGTTCCCCGTGATTTGACTGGCGACGATAAGGGAAAGTGCAATTGGAAATGAAAATATTGATAAGAGCTTATAAAACCCAAGGAATGTCCCGTGTGCTTCTCCCTCCGGAATGGATATTAATACTGTTGAAGTGACGAGAGAGCAGAAATAACAAGAATTCCTAGAGTGTCCATGAAAATCCTAGAGGGGCCTATCAACCCGGAACTGGCCGGTGAGGTGGGCCCGGCCAATTCCACGTGGAAATGTTAATTAAATCAGGGTTGTGTGGGAAGGCGAGAAAAACCTCTTCATCACTTGTAAAGACAGAAGACAATTCTCAACCCAATTGGAGAGATTGTGTTGTTTTATGGGAATCGCTTTCTCTTCATTCAATTCTGAGCTATGATTTTAAGACGGGGCAAAGGGCAAACCTGAAGGGTGGAACTGGATTTTTAAAAAATCTTTGATTATAGTGCACACATTAAAACACACATATCGACCCCTGGGAGGAAAGAGAGATTTGTCATCTGGACCGTGAAACAAAAACAGGCTAACAAATGTGGCACCTACTTTTTGACAATGTAGTGTAGTGTCGCCTGAATTTCTAGGGCTACCTTATTTTTTTTAAAATAAAATAAAAAATATTATCCCCGGCCTAAGATGCCAACAATTGGGCAATACAGATGAACCTAGCCGAGAATGCAAGTTTTTCACTCTCTGACACTTTTAAGCTTCTAGAAAAGAGGAGGGAAGCTATAACTGGTCAGCAATCCTACAAAATATTAACTTGGCATTTTTTTCCTCATCCACTTTTAAAGCATTAAAGTAGATATAGAATGAATTATTTTTATTTCTCCTCCCCCCCTTTTCTCTCTCTCTTTCTCTGAATTCTGGAATTCTCAAAGGAAAGTAGAACAAAACCATCTTAGCTTCCTGGGTAAATAAGAATATTGGTTTCTTTCCCTCCCACAAGCACACGGCCATTTATAGACCGAACTTTAGAGTCAAATGCCCATTTGCCCAGCACAACAAAGTCAAAAATCAGCCAGGATAAATTTGGTCTTGCAGCAGTTCAAAGGGAATGTTTTGAGGGCTGAGGCCATGGAAGACAGGCCTGCCGGGAATTGCTAACAGCGCTGAAACGGGACCTGTTCTAACCAGAAATGGTTGTAAAGAGGGCTGGGGAAGGGAACACCTTGGGAAATGAAAATGACATCTATTTTTTTAAGGTCAAGAGCGGGAGGGGGCAAAGGAGGAGCTGCAATCTCGTTTGGCTTGAGAAGGGAGCGAAGAAATATTAGAAAAGGGGAGGGGGGGAGATAAAACTGAGTATCCCAGAGAAGTGAACGTAAAAAAAAAAAAAAAAAAAAAAAAAACACCTTGCAAAGGCATTCCTGTCTTGAGTAGACAGAACCAGTATTCAAAAATTGGACTTCCGCTCAGCGCCCAGACCAGGTCACTCCAAAATAGGTAGGGATAATCTATTACTGGAAAGCAGGAGGAGGGGAAAAAAACAAAACAATACTGCATGGGAGACTTAATTAGCATCAAAAGGCATAAAAACTTTGTAGCCTAAGCCGGGAAATGGAATTGTTTCGTTGCTGATAAAACCAGCAGGCAAATAAGTCAGGAATCGTTACGTTTTGTCACCTTACCAAATCTGAAGTCTTTCCAGATTGCAACCAAGTGCCGTCCCAGCCCCACTGGAATTTTTGGGGAGAATCTGGCCAAATTTTGAGTGAATGAGCCCCCCCATACAGGCATTCTTCTTCTTCTTCAGCAGAGACCCCCTGAGGGCAGCGGCATGGATTAAGTCCTGCAACCAAAGGGGGGGGGCGGGGGCTGGAAAAAGCTAGGCTCTCCCTACAAGCATCAACAACTGTGCTTTATCAAGGCTGTATCAGCTCTCGTCCAAGTCTGAATTTCTGCTTTCCCTCGGAAAGAGATTTATGCAAAGGTTAAACACACACACACACAAACGCACACAAAGCCGGAGCTACAAAGACAGGAGTCTGCCAGAGTGGCCTGCGCAAGAGCCAGTGGGATGAGGCTAGTTAGGAAGGCCAGACCGGTCCCAGCCGGCTCTAGGCCTGTGTGTGCGAGCCAGCCAGGATGGAAAAGCTCTTGAAGGCAGCCGAGCCAGACCCCTCCCGGATCCATTCCGGTCCCACCTGGGTATTCCTCATCATTATTAAATGAAATGCTGCAAATTACAGTCCTTCTGCAAAAACCAGATTTGGTGAAGGTAACAACCTGGGGGGAGGGGAGGGCTGTGCAGGGAGGGTCATGCCAGGGCAAGGAAAACAGCCACCACCTGCAGAGAACAAAAGGCGCTGGCATCAACAACACCTCCCCCCCAAGACCCCCCCTTCCAGGCAATGTCTGGCGGAAAGGACAGGAAAAGTCAGAAGTTATTTGGGAACACCCCTGCACAGGGCTCAGATTTTGAAGAATTGGGAGAGAATGCCCTCCCCAGCCAGAAACAGAGGAAGGGGGGGGGGCTGGCAAATAGCAAGAGAGGAAGCACAGAGGACGGGGAATGATGAGGAAGTGGGGGATCAGCCAAGCTGGAAAACAGCATGCAAAGAGGGGCTGGATAGCAAGAAGAGCTGACAGGGATTGAATTGAACATCAATAAGTACCGCTTTGGTCCTGCCAGACAATATGCTCCCCGCCCCCCACCCCCTCAAGGGCTGAAAAAGTTGGTTCCTTCTCTGCAAGGCACTGCCTGTGCATCAGATTAAAAACAGGGCTCGGTTTGAAGATCGGCACCCAAAGGAGGGGAAGGTGCTCGGGAATCAGGTTAAACAGCTCCCTGGTTGCAGCAACAGCAGCTCCGACGGGATTCCCCCACTCTTGCAAAGATTTCGAGGACCGAGGGGGCTCCATCCGAATCTCCGCGAAGCAGAGGCTTCCTTGGGGACCCTGGGGGTGGGGGTGGAACTCAGAAAGACGTCAACACAAGAGAAAGATGGAGAGGGGTGCCAAAGGCAGAAGCCCTAGTCGGAAAATCCAACTTTTTTCAGCTTTGTCCTCTTTCAACCGTATCCAAGGTAGGATACCTTCATTAAACCGAGAAGCCGGTGGCTACGTTTGGAGCAGAGATACGGAGTCCCAACCAGCCCAAAAGAGGGAAGCCTGCAATATTTTGGGGGGGAAAAAAGTCAGCAAGAGGAAACATGAGTCTCTCTCTCTCTCTCTGGAATAAGGTAGAGATGTAATCCTTTCGGATGCCCGCAGGGTTGGGCAATGAAGCACTGAGATGGTTTGGTCTGAATCCACTGAGAAGCGCACGGCTTGCCAGGACAGGACAGACAGCTTTCAAGATTTTCCACATATTATGCTTCCCCCTCCCCAGCTTGAAGGATGTACAGTTTACGGCTCCAAAAAGAGGGCAACCACAAGTGCACACGATGGGCCCAGGAATCCCCAGAAGGTAGGAGGAGGGGGGGGCACTGGAGATGGAGGAGGCGAGAGACGAGGTTAGGTGGTGTGGTAATGCTGGCGCAGCCTGGCCTGGAGGAACTCGTGGGTCAGGTTGTGTCGCGTAATAATGCCCACAATCTGGAAGAACAGGAGGGGGGGGGGGGAGAGAAAAAGGCAAGTGAGTTTGTCAAGCGTGAAAGCAAAAAAACAAAACAAAAACAAAACAAAAAAAAACCACGACAGAGGCTTCGGCTTTTCTGAATCAGGCGGGGGGACTCAGTTGCCTTCTGGTTTCACCCTGCCCCGCCCTCTGCAGTGTTGCAGAATATTCCTTCCCCTCCCCCCCCCAGCAACTTTTTCTACGGTGATTTGTCTGAATTCGGCTCAGCGGGGAGGGCAGTCCTGTTCCGCTGAGGTCTACTCCCAGGAATGGGACAAGGGAAGCCGAACCCATCAAACCGGGGCAAAAAACCCACCGGAAAAGGGCACCCAAATACTCTGCCCTAATTCCCCCACCCCCCCAAAAAAAGTTATTTTGAAATTTCAAAGCATGCTCTGCTCTCAAACTGAAGCAGAGCTGGAAGGGAAGAACGGAAGTGGATTCTGCTATCCATCAACATTCCTCCTGTTTTAGAATTAACCTAAGGTGAAGGAAAGACTCTAAAGCAGCTGTGTTGAAGTCCTCAAATCTTAAAAGCTGCCAAGGTTGGACACCCCTGCTCTAAAGTGGCCTTTGCAGCAAGTTCAACAAGCGGTTTCAGGAAGAGACCCGGAGTTACAAGCCGATGACCTTTTTTCTAGGCCATCTGAGAGCTCCAGCGCCATTTGTGGGCCTGCAGCGCCATCTGGTGGGGAAACCTCAACCTCTTTCACCCAGATTCAACTTTAAGCGAGTGCAAAGTACCAATCAGCTCAGAAAAGAGGCAAGTTTGTTCAAACAAGACAAGACTCACCTCCCCGACGGCATTCACCACCGGCAAGTGCCTCAGCCCCATCGTCCGGAAGAGGTTGAAGACTTGGGAGATGTGAGCATTGGGAGAAATGGTGAAGGGAGAAGGGTTCATGTAAGGCGTGACGTCCTGTTGGAGAGAAAAACGCTGGTGACTTTCGAGTTCAAATTTTGATCGGTTTATCGAAATATAAAATACAAAAATACGAAGAGAAATGAAAATGCTTTTTTCCCCTTTTCTTCTTTACCCTATACTTTTTCCTCTTCCCCATTTCCTCCCGTTTTCCCCCTTTGTTTTCAAAAGCTTGCGACTTTCACAGAGGAATTTATTTAGGCAAATGAAGCCTCTCCAAAATCTGCATTCCAAGTCTCCAAGCATTTGTCCTATAACCTGTTCTGGACAGGCAACCTCCAAAAACAACAACAACAACAAAAAAAACCAAAACAAAACACAGAGGTATGGAAAACAGTCTAGAAAAATTCCAAGACATGCAGAAGTGTCTTTTCTAGGAAACAAGGTAGAAACCACAGCAACTGCGAGGAGGAGGAGGCCTTACCACAATCATGCGTGGATTCAAGAGTGTAAGATCTAGGTCATGTATGTCCGGATAGCGTGGGTAATCTTCTGACATATCTGCATACGAGAGACGAGGCTGGTTGGCACTCTGAGATGGGGTGAAACAAGAAGAAATAAAGACACCGCTTCTCCTAACATGCTAAAAGGAAATCCTAACAGGGCTTCTGGTTGAAAAAATAATAATAATTGGGACATTAATGCAAGGATCTCTCCTATCCCAGAAAAATCTGCTGGATTATCATCTATTCAGACAGAACTCACCGACTGATTCTCTGCATAGCAGATTCCTCGGACAAGTAAAGTGACCAGCTGTGAGCGCAAGATCAAGCCGTGGAAAGTCAGAGGCCGGAAGCGTTCCTCCATTGTCCACTCCTCGCTGGGGGACTGGTCTGGATACAGATTGGGATAGGGAGTGTATCTGGAAGGAACCACACAACTTCATTATGGATGGATGGAGAGAGAAATGTAATGGAAGGAAGGAAGGAAGGAAGGAAGGAAGGGAGGGAGGGAGGGAGGGAGGGAGGGAGGGAGGAAGGAAGGAAGGAAGGAAGGAAGGAAGGAAGGAAGGAAGGAAGGAAGGAAGGAAGGAGAGATGTGATGGAAGGGGAGGTGGGATGGATGGATGTGATGGAAGGATGGATGGAAGAAAGGGGAGATTGAATGCATGGATAGATGGAAAAAGGAGGAAGGAAAGAAAGAAGGAGAGATGTGATGGAAGAGGAGGTGAGATGGATGGATGTGATGGAAGGATGGAAGGAATGGGAAATGGGATGGATGGAAGGAAGGAAGGACGGAGTAATGGAAGGGGAGATGGGATGGATGGATGGATGGAAGGAGGGAAGGAAGGAAGGAAGGAAGGAAGGAAGGAAGGAAGGAAGGAAGGAAGGAAGGAAGGAGAGAGGTGATGGAAGGGGAGATGGAATGGATGGATCGGTTGCGTTTATCAGCTTCTAAAAATGTCCACATTTGTTCCTTGCGCAGTCAAGGAAGAGCTTGAAGGCAACTTGAGCAAACTAGGATCCATGAAAGATCTATCAAAAATTAGCTGGTTTTTAATTGCCAAGCTCTTTGATATATAAGAAGGAATCTACTAATCCTGCTGGCCTCTCCATATAGGCAGCCAAGGGTCCAACTCCGCTTTTCCAGGGCTTTAGTACTTTCCAAGAGGGACAGCGCCCCCTTCCCCATGCTCACTTCCGCTCTAACATCTGCTGCAGCATGTCCTCCGTCTCTGGGGGCTCCTCGGCAGCACTGTGCTCATCACACACATTCCTCAGCTCGCTGGAGGGATAGGACTTCATGGACTGGCTACGTTTACGCTGCTCGGCCGCCCGGGTGAGGATGCTGGATTTCTGGAACAGGGAAAGGGGGACTCTGTTTACCCAAGGTTCACTTCAGGGCAACATCCAGGATTGTTTCATTCAAGTCAGCCCCCAGAATCAAAAACAAGATCCGTCTGTCTACTCTAAACATACTGCGGCCATTTTAATTATGCCTAAAAAGATAAAAACGACCCCATTTTGACTGGGCCTGACTGACACGACAAATGTCCTTTCTCTGCAACACAACAGAGGGGTTTACTATTAGGTTTTTCTTGAGAATTTTTTCACTTTTTCAGTTGAGCCTGGAGATCTGAAATTCTCTCAGAACGGAGCTTGGAATCTCAATTTAAGGCTTGGAATCTCAATTTAAACGAGCTGAAACCCCGTTTGACTTTCATTTTGCTGATGTCAAACAGGCAACATTTATGCACAGCTAACTGACCGAGTTCTTCAGAACTGGGACATCCCTGTGAATGCTGGTTAAGCCCTGCCTGGTTAGTCTCACGGTTTTCCCAGTTGCAATGTGTGGCTGTGAAAGTTGGACCACAAGAAAGGCTGAGCACCAAAGAATGGAGGCCTTTGAACTCTGGGGCTGGAGAAGAGTCCTGCGAGTCCCCCGGACTGCAAGGCGATCCAACCGGTCAGTCCTGGAGGATGTCAACCCCAACTGCTCTTTAGAAGGCCAGATCCTGAAGTGGAAACTCAAATACTTTGGCCACCTAATGAGAAGGAAGGACTCACTGGAGAAGAGCCTAATGCTGGGAAAGATTGAGGGCCATAGAAGAAGGGGACGACAGAGGATGAGATGGCTGGATGGAGTCACTGAAGCAGGAGGCGTGAACTTAAATGGACTCCAGAAGATGGTAGAGGACAGGAAGACCTGGAGGAACGTTGTCCATGGGGTCGCGATGGGTCGGACATGACTTCACAACTAACAACAACAGTTAGTCTCACAAGCTCACAAACTCAATGCATATTAACATACACACAAAATGCAAAACGCATAAAACTAAAAAAAAATCTGTTTTATTGAAAGCTGAGCAACGGACTCACTAATCGACATTTGCCGCGGTTTCTGCTCCAGAGGAACAAGGACACCATCGATCGGAGCTCACCTTGAACTTAATGTTGTTGCTGATCAGCTGGTCCCACTTCATAAACTCTTTCTCGTAGGCCCGGTTCTCGGTCACCACTGGGAAGGCGTGATGGACCGTGGTCCGGAGAATGCTGACCAGGGACTGGATCCGGGTGTGCGGATAGACGTACATCAGGTGGGGCTCCATGATGTCGCTCGCCCTGAGCCTTGAGTGACAGAAAGGTTGGGATTAAATCAAAAGCCGGCTTCCGAAGTAGCCAGACAACTTGAGTCCGAGCTGGCAGATGTTCCCAGCCTTAAGATCCGCCGACATTACTTGTCCATCTCTGTTCTGACTTCCCACTCCAGCAGGGGGACCCCACGCAAGGCCACGTAGATGTCGTAAATCCCCTGGTTGAAGAGGTCACCGGTCCACTTGGCCACCTGCAAACGGAAGGGGGGACAGGCTAGAGTTGGTTCCTCTGACTCCTTGCAAACCCCAATTCTCATTTTGACCGAAGGAGTTACTCGGATGAGTAACAAAATGCCTCAGTTTGAATAAACTTGGGTCCAGTTGCCCCGATTTCACCTTTTCAAATACTTTTGGCCTGGATGACTGACTCTTGATTTTTCACATTGCTTTTTCATTTTGGAGAGAACACCCCCACCCCACCCTGCGCAGTTTGTATGGCAAGAGTTGGTTCATTCCAACGACCCTGACTCTCTGCCTACCCAACTTGGATGAAGAAGTTGCTTGGAGGGATAACGAAACATCACAGTTTGAATAAACTAGGGTCCAGTTGCCCTGATTTAAGCCTTTTCAGGTAAGGGGGACAGGTGTCTGAACACGGCTTCCGTGACATAATATAGTTTGATGATGCTGGCCTGTCATTGTTCCCACCATCTGGGAGGACTTTATAATAATAATAATAAAGTTGGACGGGACCTTGGAGGTCATCTAGTCCAACCCCCTGCTCAGGCAGGAAACCCTATACCATTTCAGATAAATGGCTGTCCAGTCTCTTCTTAAAAACCTCCAGTGTTGGAGCATTCAACGTTTCTGGAGGCAGGTTGTTCCACTGGCTAATTGTTAATTTCTCCTTAGTTCTAGGTTGCTTCTCTCCTTGATTAGTTTCCACCCATTGCTTCTTGTCCTGCCTTCAGGCGCCTTGGAGAATAGCTTGACTCCCTCTACTTTGTGGCAGCCCCCGAGATACTGGAAGACTGCTATCATGTCCCCCCTTGTCCTTCTCTTCCTTAACCTAGACATCCCCAATTCCAGCAACCGTTCCTTATGTTTTAGCCTCCAGTCCCCTGATCATCTTTTTTGCTCTTCTCTGCACTCTTTCCAGACTACTTGTGTTTCCCGAAAAATAAGATCGTGTCTTAGATTAATTTTTGCTCCAAAGGACACATTAGGGCTTATTTTCCAGTTAGGGCTTATATTTGGAGAAATATGGTACTAAATGTGTCAGGCTGGTTGATGATTTTAACTGGGGCTTATTTTGGGGGTAGGGCTTCTATTAGGAGCAACCTGAAAAACCATGCTAGGGCTTATCTTCCAGTTGGGTCTTATTTTCAGGGAAACACAGTACATTAAGTGGCTCATAGAACATACAATAACAAGGTTAAGGAGGGGCCCTGGAGGTCTTCTAGTCCAACCCCTTGCTCAAGCAGGAGAGCTTATACCATTCTGGGGAAATGGCTGGCCAACCAACGAATCCAAAAGGCCCAGGGCCAAGTCCTACGATCCCCAGATGGTTAAAGCTATCCAGTGTTGGGGCATTCGCGGCTTCAAGGCCCGACGGCTGCAGGGACTCACCATCAGGGTGATCATGATGGGCAACCCGTAGGTGATCTCGTTGGTAGACTCGATCAGGATAACGGTGAGGCTGATGGACATGCGGACCACCCCGCCCAGGAAGGCGGCCGCTCCAATCAGAGCAAAGGTGCCGGAGTAGACGTGATCCAGGCCGATGTAGCTGGGAGGGAGGGAGGAAGCAGAGCAGAGCGGTTACCAGGGAGGCCTCCGGAGCCGAGGGCGAGCGCGGCGGGGAAACGCAACCCACGAAAGCCGGAGAGGGCACCTTTCCAGGAGGTTGGCCACTAGGCGTCCGTAAGAGGCCCCGCAGAGCAGCGACGGGACAAAAAGACCGCTCGGCACAGAAATCCCGTAAGTCCAGCAGGAGAGCAGGAAGTAGAGGAAGAAAAAGAGAGAGAGGGTGACAGGGCTGAAAGTACCTGGAAAACAGGGGAGAGAGACAGGAGGGGGGTTGAGCGGCAGCCGAAGACAAAAAGCCAAGCCAAGCCAGCCCCTCCCTCCCTCTTTTAAATGTGGAAAGGGTCTGCGTGGCAGGGGTCCAGGTCACTTGAGGGACTCTCTCGCCCCACTGGGATTGGCCCGGGCCACTCGGGCCGGGAAGAGGAGGCCTGACGCGGGTCCCGTCAACCCGAGGATTCCGACGGGCGGGGTCTTCGCTGCTGTGGCTCCTGCCCTCCGGAACGTCTTGCCCTGCCTGCCCCCCTCCCCCCGGATGTGAGGTTGGCCCCAACCCTCCTCTCTTTTCGTAAAGGCCCAAAGACGTGGCTGTGCCAGCTGGCTTGGGGCCCCAGTGGGGGGATCAGCGCCAGGGAGGTGGATGATGGAATAATAACAGATCCCCCACTTTGCCCCCCCTCCCCAGGGGTCTTCGGCTCTAAGGTCTGGTTTTAACTTTTTAAGTTTTAGTTTTGATGTAACTGTAAGCCGCCCAGAGTTATCCTGTGGTAAAATGGGTGGCCAATAAATTTTACAGATGGATGGATAGATGGATACAGGTAGATGACACAGAGAGAGTAGATGTGTGTGAGACCGACAGGCAGACGGACGGGTAAATTAGAGAGATGATGAATACAGATACATGACAGATAGAGATAATTAGATGTGTGTGTGTGTATGTGTGTATGTGAGAGAGAGAGAGATACAGAGAGAGAGGCAGAGAGAGAACCCCCCCAAACACATCTTAGATCTGACCAACCACTGCCTATCCAACACATACTTCATCTATAATGGACAAAAATACAAACAAACAGAAGGAGCACCCATGGGATCACCCCTCTCACCTGTCATTGCAAACCTCTACATGGAACACTTTGAAACCCAAGCTCTAGAAAAATCGGATCACAAACCCAAACTCTGGCTCAGATACGTAGACGACACCTTCATAATCTGGCCACATGGGAAAGAAAAACTGGACAACTTCCTCACACACCTCAACAGCCTACACCCCAAAATACAGTTCACCATGGAAACAGAAGCTAACAACCAACTTCCCTTCCTGGATGTCTTAGTCTACAAGAAATCCAATGGCTCCCTAGGACACACCATCTACCAGAAGAAAACACACACAAACCGCTATCTGCACGCTCTCTCACACCACCACCCAGCACAGATCAACTCTGTAGCCAAGACACTCATCTCCAGAACAAAACGCTTAGCTGACGAACAACACCTAAAAACCGAACTACACACTCTCACCAATGTACTAACATCCAATGGATTCCCAAGAAATAAGATTACAAACCTAATCCAAAAAGAAACCCCCACTAAAATCCAAGACAAAGAACAAGAAAACGGCAAAGCCCTCCTCCCATACATAAAGGCACCACAGACAGAATCAGTAAGATCCTCCATAAACACAACATCAAAACAGCATTCTGCACAAACAGAAAAATATCCACCATCCTTAGAAACCCCAAAGATAAAATTGAATTAGAAAATCAAGGAGTATACGAAATCCCATGCACCACTTGTCCCACCACATACATCGGACAAACCAACAGAAGAATAAGTGCACGCATTGAAGAACATAAGAACTCAGTCAAAAAAAGAGGAACCAACATCTTCCCTGATCCAACACCTTAAAGCCACAGGACATGAAATTGACTTTAAAAATACCAGAACCATTGCCAAAAGTGAACATTTTAATAACAGAATAATCAGAGAAGCCATCGAGATAGAAAAACGCCCACACAGCATGAACAAGCGAGATGATACCTCCCGCCTACCAGCCATTTGGAAACCCGCCCTTATTGAAAAACGACTCCCTAATACAAAAAATGATACCAGACCCACACTCACAAAAACCACACAGGATGTCAACACCACACATCCACGCAAAACGCAAACCCAAAGCCACACCGATGATGAGGCACGACCACAAACCAGAAGCCAGACCAGAGCTGCATCATTAGCCACTTCAAAGCCCTCCCATCCATACACGAAGCAAACTGACACCCTCCATGAAAATGAGGCACGACCACAAACGCGAAGCCAAAAAATAGCAAGTCAGCCCAAAATCTTAAACCCCTCTGCAACTCAGACTAACCTGAGCACAACCAAACATAACACTCCCCCAGCCAATCAGAGCACAACCAACCCCCCAGCCAATCAGAGCACAGCCAACCCCCCAGCCAACCAGAGCACAGCCACGCCCCTAACCAATCAGAACACACCTCCACCCAATCAGAACACAGCCAAGCTCCCACCCAATCAGTTCATACCCCCACTGGCAGTTAAAAGGAAGAAACAGCTAAGACCACACATTCTGCTCGAAGCACGAAGCTGAAAACACCAGCCTGAAGATGACGAATGAGACTTCGTCGAAACGTCGCCAAGACACTTCCAATTTTACGCGGGAGAAAACCCGAACAACCAAAGACCTACATACAAACACCCGTGAAAACCTCAGAAAATAGATAGATAGATAGATAGATGACAGATTTGAGAGATGATAGATAATGGATACAGATACATGACAGAAATAATTAGATGTGTATGAGATTAGATGGGTGGATGGATGGATGGATAGATAGATAGACAGACTGACTTGAGAGATGATAGGTGATGGATACAGATACATGACAGATAGAGATAATTAGATGTGTGTGTGTGTGTGAGAGAGAGAGATATACAGAGAGAGAGGCAGAGAGACACAGAGAGATTAGATATAGATGATAGATAGAGACACAGAGAGAGATTAGATAGATAGATAGATAGATAGATAGATAGATAGATAGATAGATAGATAGTTAGATAGATAGATAGACAGATTTGAGAGATGATAGATGGTGGATACAGATACATGACAGAAATAATTAGATGTGTGTCAGATGAGATGGATAGATACATAGACAGATTTGATAGATGATAGATGGATGGATAGATGACAGAGAGAGGTAATTAGATGTGTGTGAGACAGACAGACAGACTGATGGATTGATCAGTTTGCAGGCGGCTGAGGCCAGCAAAATTAGACTTAAAGTGGCACTGGTTCAAACTCAGTATGCACATAGGTACGGGTGGAAGTTTATTAAATTTAGGATAACTTCAACCAACAGTTTCTCTTTCCACCATCATCTCCCAGCAAAGAGGGGGATCTGAATGGATCTCCACGAGAAGGTGGACCACCTGGCCATCTCTACAGAAAAGGTCCTTTCTCGTGCAAGAGAAACCAAGACAGGGTCAATTTAATTGCTAGGCAAGTCCCACAAAGGCAGGAGAAGATGTCTTAACAACCTCATTCATTCCGTTTTCACACTCCGTCCAAACGGGAGAATTTTAGGTGCCCTCAGCGTGTGTGAGCTGCCTGGAAGCTGCTGGCCACCTTGGAGAAATTTATTTGCTCCCAAAGCTTGTTAAAAATGCACACCCCTCAAGCATGAATTCCAAGGCCACGAAAACCCCAGCTCCCTGAATTTCACCTCAGATTAGACGTCTCCGATTTCTAACCCAGACCTCAGGAGCCCCTGCCCAATCCAGCAAGGAAGGCCAGGGTAAAAGTGGAGAAATGAGTCCGTTCTCTGCCTCGCGGCTCCGGTCAGGCACTCACCCTTCTGGTGAAACAGCTGCAAGATGGCGGACTCTTGCGGGTTGAAGAACAAGGTGGCCATGTCGTTGTAAGTGTTATTGTGACAGAAGAAGGTCTTGATGCTTGAATTAACCTCCTCCGAGGAAGAATCCTTGACAAAAGGACAAGCGCCCCTTTTGACTCCGGTTCCAAAATCCTGTCAAGCATCCCCCAAATTTATCTCCCCAAATCCCAGGCGGTTGACTCTTTGAGACGGCACCTTCCCTCAGGACTGTTCTGAGGTTTCCATCTCTTGGTTCCAGTTTCAATATTTCCCCACTAAGTGGAAGCCCAGGTAGTCCTTGACTTACAACGGTTCACCAGAGCCGCATGTGGCTCTTTGAACTTTCTCCTGCGGTTCCCAGTCTTCCTCTGCCATTTGCAGAGAGAGAGAGAGAGAGAGAGAGAGGAACTTGTGCTTCCCTTCCCTCTCTCTCTCTGTAAAAAAGAGAGTGGCCTCACGCTATTCTCCGACAAGCTGACAAACTTATTGGGTGGGGCTCCTGCTTTTGCTACCTCTCCACAGGAAGCAGGAAGCAGCAGCGCTCTCTCTCTCCCTCCCTCCCTCTCTCTCTCTCACACACTCACACTGAGTGGGGGAAGAGGACTGGCAGACCAAGGGCAGGACAGAGCCAGCCAATAAGAATGCGTGTCAGCTTGTCCTAGAACAGCGTCAGGCCTGCTGGGCAGGTGAGCAGATCGGAGAGAGGGGGAGAGAGGGGGGGGAAGAAGAGAAAGGGAGGGAGGGAGGGAGAGAGAGAGAGAACTCATGCAGAGCAGCCTCTACTTCTTTTTAATTAAACTCTTTGATCAAGCTCTTCCCTTTTCTCTCTCTGTGTGTGTGTAAAAAAGAGAGTGGCCTCATGCTATTCTCCGACAAGCTGACAAACTTATTGGGTAGAGCTCCTGCCTTTGCTGCCTCTCCACAGGAAGCAGGAAGCAGCAGAAAGCAGCAGCGCTCTCTCTCTCTCTCTCTCTCTGTCACACACACACACACACACACACACACACACACACACAAACATACACTCACACTGAGTGGGGGAAGAGGACTGGCAGACCAAGGGCAGGACAGAGCCAGTCCAATAAGAATGTGTGTCAGCTTGTCGGAGAACAGCGTCAGGCCTGCTGGGCAGGTGAGCAGATTGGAGAGAGAGGGAGAGAGTGGGGGGAGGAAGAGAAAGAGAGGGGGGAGAGAGAGAGAGGGAGGGAGGGAGGGAGGGGGGGAGAGAGAGAGAGAGAGAGAGAGAACTCATGCATAGAACCTCTACTTCTTTTTAATTAAACTCTTCGATCAAGCTCTTCCCCTCAGATGCGCGCGCATGCATGCGCAGGTTTTGCGGCTCCCAGTGTTTTCTGTGGGAAACGGGTCCAAGTGGCCCTTTGAGTGTTTACGATTGCCAACCCCTGGACTAAGGACTGTTCAAAATGCAATCAAAATTCAGATGCTTGGCCACTGGCTCACATTTAGGACAGTCGCAGCGTCCCTGGGGGTCAGGGGACTGCTTTGGGGTGACCCTCTGGCCAGCCAAGTCAAGGGGGGAAGCCAGGTTCATTTAGGAACCGTTTCGCTAACTTAGCCACGGCAGGGAATCGCTTAACAGCGGAAGCAAGGAAGTTTGCGGAAGGGGGCAAAACTCATTTAACAATTGTCTCACTTAGCAAGAGAAATCTGGGGGTCCTCTGTGGTCGTTAAGTCAAGGACTACCTGTATCTATCCTCTAAAATGGAGTCCCCCCCCTGGTCTCTGAGGGAGACGGGGATTGTGATGGGGCTCTACAAACACTTCTCTGGTGACCTTCAAAAGCGGAAGGCAGGCTTTCAAAAGGACTTGGCAGGGCTCGGGAAGAGAAGGACCAGGGCAGACATGATAGCAGCCTTCCAGTATCTGAGGGGCTGCCACAGAGAGGAGGGGGGGGTCAACCTATTTTCCAAAGCACCCAAAGGCCAAACAAGGAACAACGGATGGAAACGGATCAAGGATTCAACCTAGAAATAAGGAGGAATTTCCTGACGGTGGGAACAATCAACAGTCTGCCTTCAGAAGTTGTGGGAGCTTCATCAGTGGAAGCTTCCAAGAAGAGACTGGACTGCCCTCTGTCAGAAACGGTGTTGGGTGGGGGGTTGGACTAGATGACCTACAAGGTCCCTTCCAGCTCCATTCTATTCTACTGCAACCAGTTTTGGTCACCACATTATAAAAAAGATGTTGAGACTCTAGAAAAATGGAAAGAGAAGAGCAGCCAAGATGATCAGGGGACTGGAGGCTGAAACATACAGTCAGGTCCAGAAATATTGGGACATCGACACAATTCGAACATCTTTGGCTCTATACACCACCACAATGGAGTTGGAATGAAACAAACACAATGTGCTTTAACTGCAGACTGTCAGCTTTAATTTGAGGGTATGTACATATGCAAACTGCTGTTAAGTCCTACCCCGTTCACCTGAGTTGGATGTACATACCCTCAAATTAAAGCTGACAGTCTGCAGTTAAAGCACATTGTGTTTGTTTAATTCCAACTCCATTGTGGTGGTGTATAGAGCCAAAGATGTTCGAATTGTGTCGATGTCCCAATATTTCTGGACCTGACTGTAGGAAGAACGGCTGCAGGACCTGGGCATGGCTGGTCCAGTGAAGAGAAGGACCAGGGCAGACATGACAGCAGCCTTCCAATATTTGAGGGGGGGTCTCACAGAGAGGAGGGGGGGGGTCAACCTACTTTCCAAAGCACCCAAAGGCCAGACAAGGAACAACAGATGGAAACGGATCAAGGAGAGGTTCAGCCTAGAAATATGGAGAAATTTCCTGACAGTGGGAACAATCAACCAATGGGACAGAAGTTGCCTTCAGAAGTTGTGGGAGCTTCATCACTGGAAGCTTGCAAGAAAAGACTGGACTACCCTCTGTCAGAAACGGTGTCAGGTCTCCTGCTTGGGCAGGGGGTTGGACTAGATGACCTCCAAGGTCCCTTCCAACTCTGTTAGTCTGTTACTTCAAAAAAAACCAGAGGTGACACGGCGATGCGCGTCCTTCTTTTGAGGGTTCTCCTCTCTGTGTCGGCACGAAACGTTCTCCGCTCACCTGCAGGCTGAAGGAGGAGCTGTTGTCTCCGTGGTCCGCCGAAGAGAGCGGCCGGCATTCCCCAAGGAGCATCGAAGCGACAAAGATCACAAGGGTGGTTGTCAGGCACACCAAAAGGCTCTCCAGGACTCTGCAAGCAACGCAAAGTGCACCAGAACCGTTCAGGGTCGGGAACCCCACACGGAGGTCCTCAAAGCCACGGAGGCTAAGACGCCCGCCGTCCCCTCTCCCGCCGAGCCGGGGGACCCCCAAAAGCCTCGATTTGAAGCAGCCCTCGACGTACGAACACAATTGTGCCCTAAATTTCTGTTGTTAAGTGAGACGCTTGTTAAGTGAGTTTGGCCCTGTTTTACGACCTTGCTTGCCACAGTTCTTAAGCGAATCCCTGCAGTTGATAAGTCAGTTGTGAATCTGGCTTCTCCCGTTGACTTTGCTGGTCAGGTTGCAAAATGGGGTCATGTGACCCCCGTCCCAGGACGCCACGACAGTCGTTAAGTGTGAGTCAGTTGCCGAGCGTCTGAACTTGCATCGCATCACCGTGGGGATACTACAAAGATCGTAGGTGTGAAAAATGATCATAAATTACTTTTTTTCAATGCCGTTGTACTTCGAACGGTCACTAAATGAACTGTTGTTAAGTCAAGGATTCGCTGTGCTGAATGTGAAGATGCACGGATGGTTTTTCTCCTCGTGGCGCCCGAGGCAGCCTGGGAAGGGTGTCCCTCACGCTGACCCACAGGCCCCCCCTTGCACAGAGAACGAAGTACAAGGCAGTCCTCGACTTACAGCTCTTTGTTTAGTGGCCATTCAAAGTCACAATGACTTACGAGCATTTTTCACACTTACAACCCATAGTCACCTGATCAAAATTCCGAATGCTTGGCAACTGATTCACATTTACAGCGGTCGCAGTGTCCCGGGGGGGGGGGTGTTCCTGCGATCCCCTTTTGCGACCTTCTAATAAGCAAGGTCCATGGGGAAGCCGGGTTTACTTTAGAACGGTGTTACTCACTTAACAACTGTGGTGATTCACTTAACAAGCATGGTGAGGAAGGTCACAAAAAGGGGCCAAACTCACTTAACGTCCTGCTTAGTGACAAGAGATTTGGGGCTCAATTGTGGTTGTAAGCTGCAGACTAGCTGTATGGGCCTTTCCCCTTCACCCACAGCCCGTGTCACCCCCACACACCCTGGCATCCCAACACCAGCTATTGTCACAAACAGGCGTCCCATCTTCTGGTTTACACGGAGTGAAGCCGACGCCCATCATGCACAGCAAAGGCCCCGGTACCTGACCAGCTTGGGCTTGGGGTGGACATTCCTCATGCGGTATTTGGCCAGCCTCTTGTTGATGCAGTTGAAGGTGGCCCCTAGGAGGCCCCCACCGACTCCCATCAGGATGAAGAAACCCAGGTCCACGACAGTCCACAGGTGGCACTTTTTGTTAGACTCTGGACACTGGAGACGGGGGGGGGGGACACAGGGAAGACAAAGGAGGGCGGTGCAAATTCCTTGCATGTTTTAGGGTCACAATCCAGGTTTCTGTAACCTGGCCCTTGAGACCTGTATCAAGGCTCTGAGGAAGGCCGTCATAGTGACGACCGACGAACGCAACCAAGCAAACATTCAGATCTCTTATCGTAAAACTTCATTGAGTACATCAATTCGGTAGGTATGAAAGCGAAACCAGCTCTGGAAAACCCCAAGCCAAAACCCTAGAGTAGAAGTATAGAATTCCCCCCTCCCATCCCTGCACAGGTCACATTGCCCCAGTTAGGAGGCATTATATTGTTATGAGAAAATGTCTCTAAGTCGAGTCAGACATCTGGTGAATCGTCCTTGATTCTCACGGTCTGCCTTCTTTACCTTTGTAGCCTGCATTATATTTCCCCATCCCCCCACCATCACCAAGTTCGTTGGCAAGCTAAGAAGCAATAAATGTTGCACCAGCAAAGTGAGCTTCAAGCTTGACAGGCCCCCAATCTGGAAACCCCAGGGGAAGGAAAGCAGGACGAATGGTTTTCTAATCAAGGGAAAGAGACTCAAAGTCAATTAAGGCCTACCTTGAACTCTCCAAAATTCAGCAAGCCCGGCAACTGGAAAGAACCCCAGCTTCCAAACTGAATGCCGGAACGGAAAAAGTTGAGGGTGAAGGTGGCGGACATGGAGCAGAAGAGCTGGAAGGAAAAAACACACACACACATACAACTCATTCCCAGGATCTGTGCGGCAACGTTTGAGGTCCAAAGCTTGCCTACAGGTCCTCCTCGACTTACAACGGTCTGTTTAGTGACTTGTCTGAAGTTACCACCACACTGAAAAAAGTGACTTATGAGCGTTTTTCACACTTAATCATCGCTGCAGCATCCATTCGTGGTCACATGATCCAGACGCTTGGCAACTGGCTCATATTTATGAGCCGGGGTGGGTTTTGTGTGTGTGTGTGTGTGTGTGTCATGTGTTCCCCTTTTGCGACCTTCTGACAAGCAAACTCAATGGGGAAGCCAGATTTCGCTTAACCATTGTGTTAATAACTTAACGACCTTAAGAAAGGTTGTAAAAGGAGGGCAAAAGTCACTGAACGGATGCCTTGTTTAGCAACCAAAACCTGGGGCTTAATTGGGGACGCAGGCCGATGTTCAGAGTGAAAAGGCTTGCTCAGAGCCCGCCAGGAAGCTGTGAAAACGGGAGGGCAGGGTCTCCCATCGCAGCCCCAGCCAGACACCCCCCCCCACACACACACACCCCGGGCGGAGCTGAGAATTTGGCCTCACCACTTTCCACGTGAGGCCCTGATTCCAAAAGGACGACCCCTCTTCCAGGCTGAACAGCATCCCTCCAATGGGGGCCCCGAAGGCTGCAGCCACCCCAGCGGCTGCACCAGCAGAAACGAAATCTCTTTTGTCCCTGGGAGGGGAAAAAAAAAACACAGGCGGCGTCTCAGGCAGAAAGAATGGACACGGGAGCAGCATCGTATTTTCCATTTTCCATTCGGAAAGGCAACAGGCATGTTTTAAGAAGAAAATAATAATAATAATAATAATAATAATAATAATAATAATAATAATAATAATAATAATAATAATAATAATAATAGTAGTAGTAGTAGTAGTAGTAAGCACCATGGGTGCAATCCCAAAACAACTGGAGCACTACTTCAACACCATTGGCATTGACAAATTCGCCATTAGTCAATTGCAAAAGGCAGCCTTACTAGGAACTGCTTCCATCCTGCAACGAGATCTATAATAACATCAAACATCCACGTCTGCCTATCCCAGGTCCTGGGTAAGGACTCGATAGGTAGACAAAATGCCAAATCCAGTCTGAACATCTGGCTGACTGTGCGATGATCCATAATAATAATAAATAATAATAATAATAATAATAATAATAAAGTTGGAAGAGACCTTGGAGGTCATCTAGTCCAACCCCCTGCTCAGGCAGGAAACCCTATACCATTTCAGACAAATGGCTGTCCAATCAATTCTTAAAAATCCTCCAATGTTGGAGCATTCACTGCTTCTGGAGGCAGGTTGTTCCACTGGTTAATTGTTCTGTCAGGAAGTTTCTCCTTAGTTCCAGGTTGCTTCTCTCCTGGATGAGTTTTCATCCGTTGCTTCTTGTCCTGCCTTCAGGTGCTTTGGAGAACAGCTTGACTCCCTCTTCTTTGGGGCAGCCCCTGAGATACTGGAAGGCTGCTATCTTGTCCCCCCTTGTCCTCCTCTCTCTCTTTTTTTTTTATTAAAAGTTTTACAAATTTAATACATTATAACCCAAACCCCTCCCACCCCTTCCCCCTCCCCCACTTCCCAGAGCTGATTACAGGGTAAAAAATAAACAAACATAATCTAACTAACATAACCCGACTATACTATCAATCAAATCCATAACTAACTCCTTTTCAAAACAAGTATTAACAAAATTAAAAACAAAAATAATAATATAATTAAACCATAGTCCTTCTCTTCATTAAACTAGACAGACTCAATTCCAGCAACCGTTCTTTCTATGTTTTAGCCTCCAGTCCCGATCATCTTTGTTGCTCTTCTCTGCACTTTCTAGAGTACTCGTGTTTCCCGAAAAATAAGATCGTGTCTTAGATTAATTTTTGCTCCAAAGGACACATTAGGGCTTATTTTCCGGTTAGGGCTGTCAGGCTGGTTGATGATTTTAACTGGGGCTGATTTTGGGGGTAGGGCTTCTACTAGGAGCAATGTAAAAAACCATGCTAGGGCTTATCTTCCGGATGGGTCTTATTTTCAGGGAAACACGGTACATGAAGTGGCTCATAGAACATAGAATAACAAGGTTAAGGAGGGACCCTGGAGGTCTTCTAGTCCAACCCCTTGCTCAAGCAGGAGATCTTATACCATTCTGGGGAAATGCCTCCGTCTGGCTAATGATTTTAACGGGCTTATTTTGGGGGCAGGGGCTTATATTACGAGCGCCCTGAAAAAAACCATGCTAGGGTTTATTTTCCAGGTGGGTTTCATTTTCGGGGAAATATGGTAGTAGGGCCCTGAAAAACCAAGGGGAATATATCCAGGTAGTTTTATTCACCTGGACTAGCTGGAGACTTTTTAAGAGCCAAGCAGAGTGCACAATTAGAAATTTCAAAAAGAAGAGGAAAATAAATAACTTCTCCATCCATCGGTGTCAGCCGTGGCCCGATGGCTGATTGGCAGCCAATAACAAAGGCACCCATTGATCTCAACCGCTTCTCTAAGAGAGCCAGCATTGCAGCCTTATCCCACGGCAAAAAAACCAGCTAAATTTTCACTGCTGGGCAAACAGCAAATTCATCCTTCTCCTAGAGAGATGGGTTGTCTTCTCCACTCAAGGGGCAAGCATACCTGTCACTTCGGAAATAGGGGAAGTTAAACTGGATCTTCCTTAAAGAGATACTCTGGAACTGCAGAACGAGAGAGAGAGAGAGAGAGAGAGAGAGAGAGAGAGAGAGAGAGAGAGAGAGAGAGAAAGAGGAGGAACATGTGAATAATTCCTGTTTATGTAGTGTATATCGGAGGTGGTGGCCCTTTGAGAGCTCGCAGAGGGTCACCACCTCCAATATACACTACATATATATGACAAAAATAAATAAGTAAATAAATGCAGAATACTCAGCATGCACTAAAATGAAAATGGTTTCTGCATAAACAATAAGTTCTTTTTTCCACAGTGCTGACCCTTTGAGAGCTGTATGCAACGAAATTTCATTTTAGTGCATGCCGATTAGTGTCCGTTCAAAGTGACAATAAAGTTATTATTCTATTCTATTCTATTCTGTTTTTCATTCCTCCTATTATTGTATTGTACTGTATTCTAGTCTATTCTACATTCTTATTTTTGTATTGTATTGTACATTCCTATTACAGTATTGTATTGTATTCTATTCTACTCTACTCTTCATTCCTATTATTATACTGTACTCTATTCTATTCTATTCTAAATTTCTATTCTAAATTTCTATTCTAATTTATTCTAATTTCTTTTCTATTCTATTTTATATTTCTATTCTATTCTAATTTCTATTCTATTTTCTATTCTATTCTAATTTCTTTTCTCTTCTATTTTAAATTTCTATTCTATTTTAATTTCTATTCTATTCTATCAAAAAAGCAGACAAAATTCACAGGGAGTCATACTATTCACGTAGTCCTCAACTTACAACAATTCACTTAGTGACTGTTCAAAGTTACAACGGCAGTGAAAAAAGGCACTTAGGACCATTTTTCACACTTGCGACCATTGGTCGCGTGATCAAAATTCAGATGCTTGCCATCTGACTCATATTTACGACGGTTGCAGTGTCCCACATGATCCGCTTCTGCGACCTCCTGACCAGCCAAGGCAATGGGGAAGCCAGATTCGCTTAACAACTCGTTACTAACTTAACGACGGCAGGGATTCGCTTAACAACGGTGGCCAGGAATGTCAGAAAAATAGGCCCAAATGTATTTAACAAATGTCTCACTTAGCCACAGAAATTTTGGGCTCAATTGCGGTCATAAGTTGAGGACTTCCTGTAATTCTATCTAAAGCGTCCATTTTTTGGGGGGGGGGGAGAAAAACGAAAAGGCCCTTTTCACTCTTCTTAATCTCAGCAGATGCAAAGATCAGAGCGCACACCTGGACCCAGGTATCGGCGGCCATTCTAGGTTGGCCAAATTCTGAAATACGCAGGTGACAGAACTGGGATTTTCCTGTCGGAAATGTTTGCCCCCACATGAAACCGCCGAAAAGCGTAAACTGGGTTGGAACACACCAAGCCAGATGTGGAGAAGATTTTCCGAGAAAGCGTTTTCACCCCAGGGGGACAATCTTGCGCTTGCACTCACCTGAGGTAGGCCAGCCCCCACAACAGCCCCGCTGTGGATCATGGGGCCTTCCTTCCCAACAAAAAGACCTGGGGAGGGAAGACACAGCCGGTTAAGGGGACGGGGGGGGGGGGGGAACAGCTACCTTCCAACACCAGGAGGAGGGCCAGAAAGGCTGAAGCTTGAGAATGAAGGACGGTGTGGGCAGTTACCTCCAGCCACGCTGCAAAGGACCCCCAAGGCTTTGCAGATCAGAGTCCGAAGGCGCACGATCCCAGGGACCTTGACTCCGTTCAAGTAACACTTGATCTCCGGAATCCCAGAGCCGGCAGCGACTGGCTACAAAGGAAGGCACAACAGGAGGCTGAGATGGGCTGGAGAGGAGAAAACTAGACCCAGCTCAGAGGCCACAGCGCTGGTTAGGCCTGCTTGAACGGGGGGGGGGGGGATGGACTAGAACAGAGGTCCCCAACCTTTTGGGCACCAGGGACCGGTTCCACGGAGAGACGTTTTTCCGTGGACCGGAGGGTGAATGATTTTCTGTGCTGCGTGCATCCCGCAGATGGGGCTGTGTTTGTGAGGACCGGTTGCTGGCATGCCGAGGCCTGGTACTGGTCCCCAGTCCGGGGGTTGGGGACCCCTGGACAAGAAAACCTCCAAGGTGCCTTTGGAGGTTGTTGACCTGCATCTCTGCACCTCTGGTTGAGAGCAAGCTAGGAAACAACGGTAGTAGGAAACAACAGCTCCCATTTATCTCCCTAGTTCAGGGGTAGGCAACCTTGGCTCATTTATGACTTGTGGACTTCAACTGCCAGAATTCCTGAGGCAGCATGGGGGAACTATGGCCCCCTCATGACTCGTGGACTTCAACTCCCAGAATTCCTGAGCCAGCCATGCTGAGGGGAAAGGGAGAGGTTTTCAAGCTGAGCCAGGCTGGCTCAGGAATTCTGGGAGTTGAAGTCCACGAGTCATGAGGGGGCCATAGTTCCCCCATGCTGCCTCAGGAATTCTAGGAATTGAAGTCCACAAGTCATAAAAGAGCCAAGGTTGCCTACCCCCCGGCTCTTTTGTGACTCGTGGACTTCAACTCCCAGAATTCCTGAGCCAGCAAGGCTCAGCTTGGAAACCTGTCCCTAAGCATGGCTGGCTCAGGAATTCTGGGAGTTGAAGTCCACAAGTCATGAAGTGGGCCATAGTTCCCCCATGCTGGCTCAGGAATTCTGGGAGTTAAAGTCCACCAGTCATAAAAGAGCCGGGGGGGGGGGTAGGCAATCTTGGCCTTTTTATGACTGGTGGACTTCAGCTCCCAGAATTCCTGAGCCAGCCTGGCTCAGCTTGGAAACCTCTCCCTTTCCCCTCAGCATGGCTAGCTCAGGAATTCTGGGAGTTGAAGTCCACGAGTCCTAAAAGAGCCCAGGTGGCCTACCCCTGGCCTAGTTCCTCAGTACAGGGAGTCTTTGACTTATGACTGTTTTTTCACAATTTTTCACAACAACATCCCCATGCTCAAATAATCAAGTAATCAAAATTCAGACCCTTGGTGACTGCCTCATATTTATGGGGAGGGGTGCGGTGTCATGTGATCACCTTTTGCGACCTGCTGACGAGCCAAGTCAACGGGGAAGCCAGATTTGAATTTTTTTTTTTAACAAAGTCAGAATAGAGTTGAAAGGGACCCTGGAGGCCTTCTAGTCCAACCCCTGCTCAAGCAGGAGATCTTATTCCATTCAAGACAAGTAGCTGTCCAGTCTTTGTTCTTAAAACCCTCCAGTGATGAAGCCCCCACAACGTCTGGTGGCAAGCTGTTCCACTGGTTAATTGTCCTAGCTGTTAGGAAGTTTCTCCTTAGTTCCAGGTTGCTTCTCTCCTGGATTACTGTCCATCCACTGTTAACAACGACCGTATTACTAACTTGACAACTATAGTGATTCGTTTAACAAATGGGTGAGGAACTTTCTTGGAACTACTGAAAGGAAGAAGGCTCCACACCCATTTGACCCACTCAGGAGACCCTGAGGACGCAGGTAAACCTCCAAGTGGCCTCAAGGACTCTCTAAAAGAAGGCAAAGGACCGGATGTCTGCAAGGAGTATAAATCCTTCCATTCCCACCATCCAGTCAGAGCTGAGGAAGCTTCTTGGATGAGAAGCGAAACGTCTTTAAAGAAAAAACAAGGAGTCCAGTTGCCTTGTGAAAAAGCCCCTTTGGGACCACCATCACCTGGATGTCGGAGCATCTGCACGGACCTTACCTGGATTAAGACACAGAGGCTGGCCAGGAAGATGAAGGTGAGGTTGAAGCCCAGCAGCTCAAGCAGGGAGATGGCCAGGCAACCTTTCTCACTGCAGTCCTCCACGGCTTCAGAGACGGAGTCAAGGAAAGGAAGGAGAGGCCCCGAGCAAAGGGCGTGAAAAATCCCCCGGCCCAAGGAAAGGTCACTCCTTTGCCCCACAAACTGGGGCCTCCCCAGGCCAGCAGGACCCCTCCAACAGAGTGACTGGCACTCTCTCCGCTGGCCGTTCCCAGCTTCCAAGACCAGCATCTGAACTAGAAAAGATACAGTTCTGGACCACGTGGAATTTGAATCTGGTGAAGAGGCGGACAAAGAAGTCAACGAAAAGACCTACCTGCAGAGAGAAGAAGGAACAAGGTGGGCTTTAAAAAAACAAACAAGCATAACCCCCCCCCACCAGTATAGGTGGTTGATTTACAATAGTTCATTTAGTGACAGTTCGAAGTCACAACAGCACATGATTTACATCTGGACGCTTGACAACTGACTCACATTTACGGCGGTTGCAGCGTCCCGGAGTCACGCGATCCCCCTTTTGCGACCTTCCCACAAGCCAAGTCAATGGGGCAGCCGGCTTCACTTAACAACCGGGTTACTCGCTTAAGAACTGCAGTGATTCGCTTAACAAACGTGGCCAGGAGAGTCGTAAAATGGAGCAAAGACATTTAACCAATGTCTCACTTGGCTGCATAATTTCTAGGCTCAGCTGTGGTCGTAACCTTGAGGACTGCCTGTATCTTGCTTACTGACTTTATGGTTCACTTGTTATCAAGTGCAGAATGTACCCTGCCCAGGAAGGCCAAGGGAAGGTGGGCAGGCCTTTCTCGACTACCGGAGCAGGCTGCCAGCGACTCACCATCCCCGTGCAAACTCCGATGGCAAACACCATCATCCACTTCACCGCTTCGTAGCGATGGCCTCTCTGAAAGGGAGAAAGACAAAGGTCCTGAGGCAGGAGGGGAGACGGGGAAAACCAGATTCTCAGGCAATAACACACAGATCTCAAATACAGAGCAAGACCCAAAGGCCTCATCTTCTCACTTCTAACCTGCACCCCCGACGTTTATTTATTTAGCGTACGGCCTATCGTACACAGACTTGCAATCTGTACTAACGTTTTGCCTAGATCGGGGGTGCCCAACCGGGGGTGGCTGCCATCCCCCTGGAAGTCCGAGACGATAGTCCAGGGGGTGCGAAAACTTGGGTTTAGAGCAGTGGTTCTCTGCCTGTGGGTCGGGACCCCATTTGGGGTCGAACGACCATTTCACGGGGGTCGCCAAACAACGCAGTCCGCCATTTTTTCCCCCCTTTTCCTTAGCTGTGCTACTCCCTTTTATTCTATTGGCTTTTGAAAGCCAATAGAATAGACTCTCTTGAATAGAGTCTAATTCTATTGGCTTTCCAAAGCCAATAGGAATTGTCCAGGCTGTCTCTGTCCTGCTGATCCCACCAAAAGTCCCATTCTGCAAACGGTGCTGCACCAATTGAGTAGTCCTCGACTTACGACCAGTTGAGTAGTCCTCGACCTACGACCGGTTGGGGGTCGCGGCATTAAAAAGGTTGAGAACCACTGGTTTAGAAGTTTCAAAATTATAGTGTATAGGCATCATTCGTTGCTGTTATTTTGAACTTTGGCAAGGGGTGTGAGAATATATCAGAAGCGTTCTAAGGGTGCCGCGTGCAGAAAAGGCTGGAAGCCGCGGGCCTAGATTTAAAAAAAAAAAACTTAATAAAAAGATCCTAAAGGTACTTTTTCACAAGGCAAATCGACTTTTCATGAAAGCCCGGTTGCCTTGTGAAAAAGGACCTTTGGGATAACTGTGACCTGGATGACTGAAAATCCCCACAGACATAATAAAAAGATCTATATTCAGACACCAACGTCTCTAGGCCATCTAACCATGCAACTGCTGCATTGTTTTATGGAAAAACATCAGATACTGGACTGGTATAGGGCAGTGATGGCGAACCTTTTAGAGACCGAGGGCCCAAACTGCAACCCAAAACCCACTTATGCATCCTTGGGTGCTGGGTGGGCGTGGCCCATTGGGTGGGCGTGGCTGCGGTGGTAACGGCAGACTGGGTGGGACTAAAAAATTCAATCAATCAATTCCAACTTTGCAAGATATTTTTTTTCCCGCGAGAAGTTGAAATTGATTGATTAAGTGAACCTTTTTTTTTTTTGCACATGGCAGTGGAGGCCTAAAGCAAAAAGGTTTTATAAAACCCAGCTGAAGGCCTAGGACTGGGGCGACGGCGCGCGTGCCCACAGAGAGGGCTCCGAGTGCCGCCTCTGGCACCCGTGCCATAGGTTCGCCACTACTGGTATAGAACTTCAGTTTAAAGCTGGTCATGGTGTGATCTACAGTTTGACGTGGGATCCCCAGTCACACCGAGGGTTCTATGCCCCATTTATACAGCCAGTCCCGGCAGACACTGTGTGGGGTGCAACTGCTTTTCAGGGTGGTGTCCATTGATGGCGTGGTAGTTCAAAGCCATTTATATGTCTTCCTATGTCTGCACCCCTTACAAAAATCAGGTTTCTAGACCTCATGGCTGCTTTGGGAAGATGTGGTAGCTTACACAACTTGCTTAAACAAATGGTCGAATGCTTCATTTTAAAAAAAGTAAAAATAAAACCAGAATTGTGTTTCACTTTCAGCACCAAATCTTGCTCAGAGCACTGTGATAATAATCACATTGTGCCAAATGATGATCTGAGTGTTTTTCCTTCGTTGACTTTTCCTGGGCAAAGGTCTGGGGCACGGAGGATAAAGCTACACGTCGGTCAAGTCCACGCCACAACACACAGTTCAACTTTGGAAGTGCTTGTAATCAGACTTTGCCTCAGCTGCAAAGATTAGATTAGTTTACAAAGGGAAAAACTATCAATAGCAACCCATGTTAAAGGTTTTATACTCCCAGATCCGTAAGCATTAGCTATTTACTAAAAGAAACATACATATTATTCTGCATAAGTGGTCCTTAACAACAGTTCATTTAGCAGCCAAAGTTACAAAAGCGCTAAAAGAAGCAACTTACAATCGTTTTCCACACTTACAACCATTGCAACATCTCCATGGTCACATGATCCAATTTGGGACACTTGGCAACAGACTCATATTTATGACGGTCGCAGTGTCCCGCGATCCCGTGATGCCCTTTTGCAACTTTCAGACAAGCAAATTCAATGGGGAAGCCAGATTCACTTAACTGCAGTGATTCACTTAACAACCGTGGCAAGAAATGTCATAAAACGGGGCAAAATTAACTTTACAAATGTCCCACTTAGCAACAGTGGGCTCAATGGTGGCCATAATTCAAGGACTACCTGTGTTCACTGTTGCTCTTTACCTGGATTGAGAATATGGAGGGAAGCAGGTATTTGAAATGTACTGTATCTCTCACGTATGGCTGAGCGCCAAAGAATGAGTCCTTTGGACTGCAAGGCCATCAAACCGGTCAGTCCTAGAGGAGATCAACCCCGACTGCTCTTTGGAAGGCCAGATCCTGAAGTGGAAACTCAAGTACTTTGGTCACCTAATGAGAAGGAAGGACTCCCTGGAGAAGAACCTGATGCTTGGAAAGACTGAGGGAAAGAGAAGAAGGGGACGACAGAGAATGAGGTGGATGGATGGAGTCCCTGAAGCAGGAGGCGTGAGCTTCAATGGACTCCAGAAGATGGTAGAGCAGGGCTTTTCAACCTTTTCACCCATTGTACCACTTTTTGGATATGGCAACATCCGAGTACCACCAGTCGCCTAGCAAGATGTCAAAAACTTGATGATCAAAAAAAAAAAAAAAAAAAAAAGGAAAAAAGTGATAAAGTACAGGTAGTCCTTGACTTACAACAGTTTGCTTAGTGACTGTTCGAAATTACAATGGCACTGAAAAAAGTGCCCCGCAAGGAACAGCCGAGCAAGACAACTGCCTGCCCGCCCGGCGGCGTTCTTCCTCCTGTCTGAGGTTTTCATTGTTGTGAGCGTTTCTGTTGAGGATTGGCAGTGGGGGTGGGGTGGGGAGTGTTTGGTTTTTATTCCCCCCATCTGCTGGGTGGTTGCAGCAGGTTTTGGTCACTTCACATGACCCTGGGACACTGTGACCATCATAAATATGAATCAGGTGCCAAGCATCTGAATGTAAATCACAAGACCTTGGAGATGCTGCAACATTCCAGCTGATCGGCGCTTCTTCTGGGCTCAGCAGAAGCACCAGGATCAGTGCTGCTTTCTAGCTAATTGGTGCTTCTTCAGGGCTCAGCAGAAGCACCAGGATCAGCGCCGAGCTCCAGCTGGAGCCTGGTGCTGATCCTGGCGCTTCCGCTGAGCCCTGACAGCCCTGCAGCTCCAGCCGTCTCTTGCTCAGGCTTGTGCGGTGCTGCCGCCGGTTCAGCTCATTCCCCTCCCCCGCTACCACTTTTCTAGGATAGTCGCGTACCACCTGCCAGGTGCCAATGTACCACAGGTGGTACCCGTACCACTGGTTGAAAAGCCCTGTGGTAGAGGACAGGAAAGCCTGGAGGAAGGTTGTCCATGGGGTCACGATGGGTCGGACACGACTTCGCAACTAACAACAACAACAACAACAACAACGTATCTCTCACAGGCCCAAAACACTTTGAAGAAAATTCAAATATTCCTGCGTTCCCCGGAATGCAAGTGGCCTTTCACCATTTGATTTATTAAACTTATAACACACTTCAGTCAAGACTCTTTTTATCTCTTACCTTGTTATCGAAACTTTCTAGGACTTCCAAGTACGGTTCATTGAGGCAACGATCATAATCCAAACTCTGGAGAGGAAAAACAAAAAGCAAATATTTTCAGAAAGGCTGAAGAGACAAGCAGGCTATAGCCCACTTTAAGGAAAAGCCACTTAATGTGATAAATAAAGCCACCCTCTCTGGAGTAACTGAAAAGGACACCTTAAAAATCACTTGATGGCGATTAAACCTGCTTGTTCAAGCCATTTTCTTTCCAACAGTATAAAAGAAATTTGCCATTATTTCAGGCTGTTGTTTTGACCCTCCTGTCCTGCTTGCAGTCCTGAGATTTCTTTGCGGTCTCCATTCCAAGAATACTCCATTCTGGCCTTGCTTAGTTTCCCAACATCAATTAAAATCACAGAGTTTGGCAAAAATACTCATTTAGAAGACTTGAGGAGACATACTCGGGAGTTCTAGGTTGCTTCTCTCCTTGATTAGTTTCCATCCGTTGCTTCTTGTCCTGCCTTCAGGTGCTTTGGAGAATAGCTTGACTCCCTCTTCTTTATGGCAGCCTCTGAGAGACTGGAACATTGCTATCATGTCCCCCCTCGTCCTTCTCTTCGTTAAACTAGACAGACCCAATTCTAGCAACCGTTCCTTATATGTTTTAGCCTCCAGTCCCCTAATCATCTTTGTTGCTCTTCTCCGTACTCTTTCTAGAGCAGTGGTTCTCAACCTTGACAATTTTAAGGCATGTGGACTTCAACTCCCAAAATTCCACAGCTGTGGAATTTTGGGAGTTGAAGTCCACATGCCTTAAAATTGTCAAGGTTGAGAAACACTGTTCTAGAGTCTCAACATCTTTTTTGGACAACTACACTAACTCTATTTTTAGGCCTTTAGGAAGGAAGCAGCAGTTCCCAGCAATCTCTCTCTCCCCTCTTTTCTGGAATGCTTCTTCCTAACAAATCAAGCTCATTTTTGAGGCATTTCACCTCATAGTCTTTACGTGGCAGAATTTCATCGTCTTCTTCCTCCGTCTCTCCAAGGATGGTCTGCAAAATAAATAAATAAAAGATCAACAAGGTAAAGGCAAACCAGGTATATCCACAACGGACCAATATTCAGGGGGAGGGAAACCCTAAAAAGCAAGATTTTTGCATTAAAATGCATTTTGCATTTTGGAAATCCAGGCCACGCTGAAGTCGTTGCTTCGCAAATGCCGCCGTACAAGACTTCTCTTTTTATTTCAAGTTTTTTGTTTTTATTTCCATCGTTCTCTTGTGCCATGCTCTATTGCACGCGAATAATAATTTATTTCTTTCATTTAAAAAAAAATTTTCCTCTCCTTCCAAAATCCTCAGAAAAATTTTCAATTTTCACCTCTGGATTCAACAATGAACTCTGTACGTGCTCAGAGGCACCCTCTTCGCTTTGCCATAATAGGGTAATAGCAAAAAAAATGTTAGCACACCCAGCCTAATTTGCATATGCAAATGTATGCGCCCCCCGTCAATCTTCTGAAAAGGGGGGGGTCCAACAAGGAAAGCCCCTCCCAGGCTACCCCTCACCAGCTCTTCCGGGGTGCGGCTCTCGCTTTCCCCACAGCAGCAGCAACAGCACCCGCAACAGCCCCCCCGGCACCCCGCCGCCATCGTCGCCCCTCAAGGAACCCGCTCTGCTGGCCCCCCAAAAAGCAGCCCGCCTTCGCGCATGCGCCAGCGCAGAAACACGGAAAAAGAGGGGGCGTTCCTTAAGAAAGCTTTCCGCTCATTGGAAACACCGGCTTCAGGGCGGAAGTTGTTTGTTCCGCCATCTTGAAAGTGGCCCGTGAAACAGGAAGCGGAGCTGTAGAGATAGGAAGGGAGAGGAAAAAAAAAAGTGAAGAGATGCATACTTTTGTGTACAGGAGCCTTCCTCAAGATTCAGAATGACCATAAAGAGATATATAATATATATAAAGATATAATATAAACCCAAAATCAGTTCTTTGAGAAAAAAAATAGCAATATGGACATATTGCTGTTACTACTATTATTATTTATTTAGATGTATTGGTCTCCCAATACATATATATTAGTAGTAGTGGCATTTCTTATAGATTCCGCAGGAGTCGGGAGACCAATACATCTAAATAAGTAATAATAGTAGTAATAGCAATATGTCCATATTGCTATTTTTTTCCTCAAAGAACTGATTTTGGGTTTATATTATCCCAAAGCAATATTGCTTTTCCTGTGAGAAAATTCAGAGCGATTTACAAGATGCATGCAATGTTAAAAAAACAAACTTAAAATCACCCCGCCCCCCCCAGTTGACAAATTGACAAATCAATTGCAACAACAGATTTTGTTTTTTGTTCACATTTGTTTTGTTCTTGTCTAGTTTTGTCGGTGTTGATTTTTTTTGTGTTTTGTATTTTAATCTTCTGAATAAAATTAAAAAATGAAGTTTCTGGACACTTATATCTTGGAGGACCTCTCATGGACTGTGAATGTTAACATGCTTGTGAAGAAGGCACAGAAGAGGCTGTACTTCCTGAGAATGCTCAGGAAGATAAATCTATCTCAGCATCTACTTCTGTCCTACTATCACAGCACCATTGAGAGTGTCCTGACATACGGCATTCTTGCATGGTATGGGAGCAGCTCTGTAGCGGACAAAAAAGCTCTACAGAGAATTATTAAAACTGCCCAGAATATTATTGGACTCCAGCTACCAGCCCTGCACAACATCTTTGAATCTCGCTGTTTGAGGAAGTTGCATAACATTCTCAGAGACTCTTCCCATCCTGCTTACAATCTCTTTGGACTGTTGCCTTCTGGCAGAAGATATAGAACATTTAAAACTCGGACCACACGTTTTCTGAATAGTTTTTATCCCAGAGCTATAATTGCACAACAATGAACTAAAGGGCCACCATCAGTGAACTGTGGGACAGTATTACTTGGTCTGTTGGGTGGATGTTTGGGCGGTTTTAGGGGTGGGGAATTGTGGCGGGTGGGAGTGTGTTTGGGGATTATGTGTGTGGGATCTGATCTTTGGGTGTCACGTAAACACATGTACTGTATACATATACAATGACAATAAAGTTTATTATTATTATTAAAAAAACCTAAGAAAATAAAAGCGATGCTTTGATGGTGGCCTTTGTGGCAAATTAAACCGTCATACTATAAGCACTAACGAAGGAGTGCCAAGGAGGAGTTTCAGCAATATATGTTTTCAGTAGAAACCACTTAAATCCTATGGTACAATGTCACAATAAATACAAATAAAATAAAACATTTTTTTAAAATTCAACCTTGAAAAACATCCAATTTGCATATCTGGATTGCTATGGAAAATAGGCAAAAGGTTTTCAGACAGACAGAGCCCGCCTACACTTCCAGCCAGACTCCAGATGTCGCAACCACTGAAGGCTTATGGCACATTAAAGAGCGATAAGCCTGACTTATCTGGTTAATCAGTGACTAGAACGATTATTATTATTATGTTCTTGTGGGATGAGGTTGCCCCAATCCTTTTATTTTTAGCTCCCTTGCAATCCTTTTACCCCCTTTATGAATTACTGCTTTGTCGTGGCGAAGGGGCTTGCGTAACTCAATGAAGCTATAAGCTATGCTGTGCAGGGCCACCCAAGACGGACAGGTTATAGCAGAGAGTTCTGACAAAATGTGATCCACTGGAGAAGGAAATGGCAAACCACTCCAGTATCTTTGCCATGAAAACCCCATGGACAGTACTAAAAGGCAAAAAGATATGACGCTGGAAGATGAGCCCCTCAGGTCGGAAGGTGTCCAATATGCTACTGGGGAAGAGCAGAGGGCTAGTACTAGTAGCGCCAGAAAGAATGAAGCGACTGGGCCAAAGCCGAAAGGACGCTCAGCTGTGGATATATCTGGTGGTGAAAGGAAAGTCCGATGCTGTAAAGATTTTTTCTCCATAGGAACCTGGAATGTAAGATCCATGAATCAAGGCAAGCTAGACGTAGTCAAAAAAGAGATGACAAGACTGAACATCGACATCTTAGGAATCAGCGAACTAAAATGGACAGGAATGGGTGAATTTAACTCAGATGACCATCAGGTATACTACTGTGGGCAAGAATCCCTCAGAAGAAATGGAGTAGCCTTCATAGTCAATAAAAGAATAGGAAAAGCAATACTGGGATACAATCCCCAAAATGACAGAATGATCTCAATTCGAATCCAAGGCAAACCATTCAATATCACAGTAGTCCAAATCTATGCCCCAACCACTGGTGCTGAAGAGGATGAAATTGACCGGTTCTATGAAGCCCTACAGCACCTTATAGAATTAACACCAAAAAATGATGTCCTTATCATCATGGGGGATTGGAATGCTAAGGTAGGAAGCCAAAAGATAACCGGAATAAAAGGCAAGTTTGGCCTTGGAGTACAAAATGAAGCAGGGAACAGGCTAATAGAATTTTGTCAAGAGAATACGATGGTCATAACAAACACTCTTTTCCAACAACCCAAGAGACGGCTCTACACATGGACATCACCTGATGGTCAACATAGAAATCAGATTGACCGTGTGCTCTGCAGCCAAAGATGGAGAAGCTCTATACAGTCAGTAAAAACAAGACCAGGAGCTGACTGTGGCTCAGATCATGAGCTTCTCGTTGCAAAATTTAGGCTTAAATTGAAAAAAGTAGGGAAAAGCACTAGGCCACTCAGGTATGAACTAAATCATATTCCGGATGAATATACAGTAGAGGTGACAAATAGATTTAAGGAACTAGATCTGATAGACAGAGTGCCTGAAGAACTATGGATGGAAGTTCGCAACATTGTACAAGAGGTAGCAACTAAAACCATCCCAAAGAAAAAGAAATGCAAGAAAGCAAAATGGCTGTCTGAGGAAGCTTTGCAAATAGCTGAGGAAAGAAGGGAAGCGAAAGGCAAAGGAGAAAGAGAAAGATACACCCAATTGAATGCAGAATTCCAGAGAGTAGCTAGAAGAGATAAGAATGCCTTCTTAAATGAACAGTGCAAAGAAATAGAAGAAAACAACAGAATAGGGAGGACCAGAGATCTCTTCAAGAAAATTGGAGATATGAAGGGAACGTTTCATGCAAAGATGGGCATGATAAAGGACCAAAATGGCAGGGACCTAACAGAGGCAGAAGAGATTAAGAAGAGATGGCAAAACTACACAGAAGAACTATACAAGAATGAGCTTAACATCCCAGATAACCACAATGAGATGGTCATTGACCTCGAACCAGACATCCTAGAATGTGAAGTGAAATGGGCCTTAGAAAATCTGAGCAACAACAAAGCTAGTGGAGGTGACAGTATTCCAGCTGAGCTATTCAAAATCTTAAAAGACGATGCAGTAAAAGTGCTACACTCAATTTGCCAGCAAATTTGGAAAACTCAACAGTGGCCACAGGATTGGAAAAGGTCAGTTTACATTCCAATTCCAAAGAAAGGCAATGCCAAAGAATGTTCAAACTATCGCACCATTGCACTCATTTCACATGCTAGTAAAGTTATGCTTAAAATCCTACAAGCTAGACTCCAGCAGTATGTGGATCGAGAACTACCAGAAGTGCAGGCAGGATTTCGAAGAGGCAGAGGAACTAGAGATCAAATTGCCAACATACGCTGGATCATGGAGAAAGCTAGGGAGTTCCAGAAAAACATCTACTTCTGCTTCATTGACTATGCAAAAGCCTTTGATTGTGTGGATCACAACAAATTGTGGCAAGTTCTTAAAGAGATGGGAGTACCAGACCATCTCATTTGTCTCTTGAGAAACCTATATGCGGGTCAAGAAGCAACAGTGAGAACTGGACACGGAACCACTGATTGGTTCAAAATTGGAAAAGGAGTCCGGCAAGGCTGTATACTGTCGCCCTGCCTATTTAACTTATATGCAGAGCACATCATGAGAAAGGCAGGGCTAGATGAATCAAAAGTTGGAATTAAGATTGCCGGGAGAAATATCAACAACCTAAGATATGCAGATGATACCACTCTAATGGCAGAAAGTGAAGAGGAACTAAAGAGCCTCTTGATGCGGGTGAAGAAGGAGAGTGCAAAAGTTGGCTTGAAACTCAACATTAAGAAAACCAAAATCATGGCATCCGGCCCTCTCAATTCCTGGCAAATAGATGGGGAAGAAATGGAGGTAGTGACAGATTTTATTTTTCTGGGCTCCAAGATCACCTCAGATGGGGACTGCAGCCAAGAAATTAAAAGACGCTTGCTCCTGGGGAGGAAAGCTATGGCAAATCTAGACAGCATACTAAAAAGCAGAGACATCACCCTGCCAACAAAAGTGCGTATAGTCCAGGCCATGGTTTTCCCAGTTGCAATGTATGGCTGTGAAAGTTGGACCATAAGAAAGGCTGAGCGCCAAAGAATTGAGGCCTTTGAACTCTGGTGCTGGAGAAGACTCCTGCGAGTCCCTTGGACTGCAAGGCGTTCAAACCGGTCAGTCCTAGAAGAGATCAACCCCGACTGCTCTTTAGAAGGCCAGATCCTGAAGTCGAAACTCAAGTACTTTGGCCACCTAATGAGAAGGAAGGATTCACTGGAGAAGAGCCTAATGCTGGGAAAGATTGAGGGCAAGAGAAGAAGGGGACGACAGAGAATGAGATGGCGGGATGGAGTCACTGAAGCAGGAGGTGTGAACTTAAATGGACTCCAGAAGATGGTAGAGGACAGGAAGGCCTGGAGGAACGTTGTCCATGGGGTCGGGATGGGTCGGACACGACTTCGCAATTAACAACAACAACAATCCTTTTACATGCGGGCTATGCATTAAAAACGCTGGAGGTGCTTTGCACAAGGAATTTGCTAGCTGCTGCCCAGACACGCGGTGGCAGAAATGAACAAAGAATAATTCATGCTCCAAAATTAAGGCAGATTAAGGAAATAAAATTATTTGGATTAGATTCTTGGCTCCTTGCTTGTTAAGCTATGATGCAAAGGAGGGGGAAAAAAAAACAGACTTGTGGTTAATCTGGCAACCACGTGCCAACAATAATAACAACGAATAAAAGACGTCTGGGATTTAAAAGACAGGGTAAAAAGACGCCAGCGCTGCCATCTTGGAAGCGGGCATCGCGCCATTAATACAGAAGGGGCGCGGCTGTAATCCCGAGGGGGCGTGGCTCTGCCATTGTATTTAGAATCCGAGATTTAAAAGAGGGAATTGCTGAAAGGTTGCCGCGCATGCGCTCCGTCTCTCTCTCCCCCCCCCCCGGTGTCCACGCCGGCGCGAGAGCCCCGCAGGTGTGCGTGTGAGGGAGGGAGGGAGGGGGTCGCCGCGAGGAAGGTGAGTGGGGGCACGCGCACGCGGAGCGTTCCATCTGTCCGGGCCGTGGGGGGGGGAAAGGCGAAGTGGAGCCCCTTTCTGTAGGCGACTGGCAAGGGAAGGGTGGAAGAAACCATTAAGAAATGGGAGGGGGGGGAAAAGCACTACTTTCGGGTTTTTTGGATCTGGGTCTGGATTGGGGGGGGGCAAGAGGGTCCCAAAAGTTTTTTTTTTCCAGCGACCACGAAATAATGAATTTAAATAAAAGCCGAATCTCCTTCCCTCGCTGTGCATCCCCCTCCCTCCCGCCTCCTGGGGCATTTAATGCCTTTAAATTCAGTGAATTGCCACGTTTTGCATGCGAATGAATCCAAAGGCTTGGGAGAAGCGTGCAATTTTTCCCGTTGCAAAAGTTTTGCGCCTCCCTCCAGCGTTGCCTTAGGGTTGTCAGAAGAATTTTCTGTTTTTTTTTTTCTGTTTTGTTTTTTTTTTTAACCAGCGAAAATGAAAATAAAATCCATTTTACCCTTTGCAGGAGCCACTTGCAAACCAAAGGACCCTCGTGCAATTTAACGCCCCCCCCTTCCCTGCTCAATTTCCATAACTCAGGAAGGGAGGAAAAACCCTAATGAGGATTGCAAAGAATATTTTATTTCCTTCTGCCCCACACTAAAAGAAAATATTTCCTTACTATAAATCTTCCTCCCTCCCCCAGGTTTATAAATAGGCACCAGATTTTGCCCCCTTATATGGGTGGGCTGAGATAATGGAGGGCAGGGGCCAAATTTGGGGTTGACCTCCAACTTTCAGGCTCCAACTTCTGGCTGCGATACAAAATGCCACCCTCAGTGGGTGGACTGCAAGTCCCATCACCACGAACTACAAGTCCCATCCTCGCCACCTTACGGGCCAGATGAATGGCAACTGCAATCTTAACAGGGGAGAGCAGTGCGGTGTAATGGTTAAAGGCGTTGGGCTAGTCTTCCCTTGTACAGGAAAAACAAAACCTGGGGGGGGGGGTTGGACCAAGCCCCCAAACCATTAGAATTAACAGTGACCCCAACGCACCATAACTAGTCTCTAAAAGGAGAGAAGATTCTGGGTCAAATGTTTATTTTCTCCTGCAATTTTCCCATCGGCTAAAATACAATTGAAAGACTTTTTTTTTTGAAAAAAAATTTAATGGTTTTTTTAATTTTTAAGAAAAAGTGCTCAGGACACACCGCGATGTTTGGGTAATCAGACATTCCAAAGTAAAAACATAAATAAACAACTCAACTCAATACATTCACTGTCTCCTCTCTATTTCCCTCAAATAACATAATATGTTTAAAATATTCCATTTCTAAATTAAATTTCTATTACTACTAAACCTGTTTTAAAACTTCATCAGTTTACAATTACCAAAATCAAATTTCACTTTAACTCAACATTATCAATTCAGGTATCTCTTCCAGATATATTCTAGTTCTTAATTTCTCTCATCCCTCCTTTTATCACCAATCTCATTTATTTCTTCTTCCATTACACAATAGCTATCTTAATTAAAAAATAATGTTAATTCACTAGGATTGAAAGACTTTAATGATGTTTTATTAATGAATTATAAGATTGTGATAATTTTTATTATTATTATTATTACTATTATTATTACTATTACTACTACTACAGGAAAGATCGGTCCCTTCCACCATGCCTGCTGCAGAAGAGGAATTTAAGGAGATTTGACACATGCACACACCCTCCAGCTTTTTTGCTGTTGTGATTTGCGGGAGCCAAAACTTTGGACTTGACCGATGGAGTTGGCCGAAAAAACGCCCATTTCAAGGTGAGTTTAAAAAAAAAAACAAAGGAAAAAAAAACACAGCTTTGGGATCCATTTTCCTGTTGTTTCTTTGTCTGAGAAATAATCTCACCTTCAAGCCGCTTTGCTTTCTCTTGGAAACCCACCTCCCCCTTGGTGGAGAAGCCCAGCGCTGATTGGTGGGGACGTTTAGATAAGGGGCTGCCTGCCTCTCTTGTAAGGGAGATTGTGACACCGACAAGGTGTGACTCCAGGCATTGGGCAGCTTGCATTTCTCCAGACTGCTGGCGAGGATCAGATCCAGCAGCATGGACCGGGTCCAATCCACCGGGCAAATGCTCGGGTGAACCTGGCCCAGGAGCCCCCAAAGTTAGCAAACTGGAAGGCCTGAATCGGTCAACCAAACTGGAGGGATCCTCCAGACCCCGGTGGAAAATTGCCCAGAGGGACAGCACCGACACCAGGTGAGTGGATGCTTAAGGACTCCTCTCTGGACATCCCTTCTCTTTACTTCCTCCTCTGATCGGACCCTGAAAACTAGCCGTGCCCCCCCCCCTTCCCCAATTGGAGACTGGCGGTCTGCACAATTTACAAACCTAGTTAGTGGCCGAGTGACACCAGGGCAGAAGCGTAAATCCATCAAGGCTGAAATTTCTTATTAAATTTTGCTGCTCCTTCCTGCCTTTTCTGTTTGGGGTGCAATCCCCCCCCCCTCCTTCCCATTCTCTCTTCCCTGTTTTGTTTTAGTTCCGATCTGGCTGCGCCTGGGGAATTAATCCCATCACTTGCAGCGTGGATTTGGGGCTGATTTTGAGCGCTGATCGGTTGCAGAATAATTTGGCTCTCCTGACAGGGCTGCCTTCCGTCACAGGGTCATGAAGAGGTCATGCCTGGCGTCTAGCCCAAATTGCCTTTTTAAGACTTCCAGTCCTTTTCAGACAAATAAAAATAAATAAGAGAGCCACCCAGAGGGCTCTCTCAAACCACGAGCTAGAAAAACCTGCTTGGACGAAGGCTGGGAGGAATTACGAAGCCCCTTGGAGTGGCTTGACTTTGAGATGGGCAGTGTAGAAATTTAATATTTACAACAGTTTGTTTAGTGACCGATCGAAGTTAACAACAGAACTGCAAAAAGTGTCTTGGGACCATTTTTCACACAAGGGTTGAGGTCTCCCCATGGTCATGTGATCAAAATTCAGATGCTTGGCAACCGACTCATATTTATGACGGTCGCAGTGCCACGACTTTCCGGCAAGCAAAGTCCAGGAAAGAAGTCACTTGCCTAGTGTCGGAACTTTGATCCCGTGACCACAGGACTGCTGCAACGGCTGTAAGTGTGAAAAAATAGGTCCTAAGTCGCTTTTTCCAGTGTCGTCGTTAACTCTGAACGGTCACTAAAAGAACTGTGAGGATTACCTCTAAGCCCAGGGAGATACTGAACGATGGCGACAAGAAAGGTCGAAAAATGTAGACAAACTCGCTTCACAAATGTCCCGCTTAGCCATAGAAATTTTGGGCTCCGTTTTTGTGGTCGTAAGTCGAGAACTACTTATAAAGAAATAGGCTTAAGATTCATACATGGTTGGAAAAGACTAAAATACAGAACTGTTTCTGTTAGGAATACTAGGAGCCAAGCACGAGAAGGAGAATGAATATTTATATTGACAGCAGCGAGAATAGCATTTGCCCAATACTGGAAAAATGAAAATTTACCATCTGAAGAGATCATAATTAAGAAAATTTTAGAGTGTGCAGAAATGGACAGATTAACCTTAGAGATTAAAGAGAAAGAAGACTCCGTTTACTTTAAAACATGGGATAACTTTTACCAATGGTTAGCAAAATGAACTAGTGAGAAATGAGTGTGATGTTTAATGGCGAATATATTTTAATAAGATGAAGAATATTAACTGATACTGTTTACGATCATTGTTTCTCATATTCACTATAGCTATTTACTATTATATTGATTAGTGCTATTGAACATGTGTAACCGGACAATAGTCTGTTCGCTAAAGCTTGAAAATGTTAATGGGGGGTAACCCCATGGCTGTTCCTATCTCTGTTTCAACCCCGACTCCTACCCTGAACCCCAATTCCCATACTGATCCCATCCCTTCCCTAACCTTATAAAACTCAATAAAACACACACACACACATACTCTCTCTCTCTCTCTCACTATATATATATATGTTTTCTGAGGTTTTCGCGGGTGTTTGTATGTAGGTCTTTGGTTGTTCGGGTTTTTTCCCGCGTAAAATTGGAAGTGTCTTAAATCTTAAATCCCTCTGCAACTCAGACTAACCTGAGCACAACCAAACAGAACACTCCCCCAGCCAATCAGAGCACAGCCAACCCCCCCAGCCAATCAGAGCACAGCCAAGCCCCTAACCAATCAGAACACACCTCCACCCAATCAGAACACAGCCAAGCTCCCACCCAATCAGTTCATACCCCCACTGGCAGTTAAAAGGAAGAAACAGCTAAGACCACACATTGCTGCTCGAAGCACGAAGCTGAAAACACCAGCCTGAAGATGACGAATGGGACTTCGTCGAAACGTCGCCAAGACACTTCCAATTTTACGCGGGAGAAAACCCGAACAACCAAAGACCTACATATATATGTATATATGTGTGTGTGTGTGTGTGTGTGTGTGTGTGTGCATATGTATATATATGTGTGTGTGTGTGTATGTATGTATGTATGTGTGTGTGTGTGTGTGTGTATATATATATATATTACTGAGCTTTCGTCGGAAAACTTCCGACATCGTCAGGGTTTGATGTTAGTATTTATTAAAGTTTTTCCAGTTTGGATTTTTCCTGGATTTTTTTGATTCTTTTTATGATATGGATATACCCAGGAATCGTGTTTTCACTGATATTATTAATATGTATGTATGTATGTATGTATGCATGTATAAAGAAACAGGTTTCCACCCAGAATGCAAGCTAAGCACAACTGCTTGCTCACCTCCTGGCCTCCTCCTCATTCCTCCAGGGCCTTCACCATGGTCAACGAGTCGCACAGCGAGCTTTCTCCGGTGAGCAACGGCCTCGGCGGGACCCGACTTGATGGCGGCAGCAGCAGCAGCAGCAGTGGGGAGAGTTCCCAAAACAGCTCCCGGTGCTCCACTCCCATCCTGGACACGGAGCGTCACGAGCGCCTGCGGGAGAAAATGCGTCGCCGGCAGGAATCCGGGGACAAGTGGTTTTCCCTGGAGTTCTTCCCTCCCCGGACGGCCAACGGAGCCGTGAATCTCATCTCCAGGTGAAGAAGCAGATCGTGGAGGCTAAAAATGGGTTATTCCAAGCCGTGGATTCGTTTAAAATCCTGAGTTGATGGACAAGGTCCATCTGTCATAGAACATCAGCTCCACACTCATGTCCACTGGAGCTTTGGGGTCTCCTTCACCCACATCTCCTCCACTTTCGTCGGCGCTGGGTTGTCTCAACCCAATAAACCCTGAATCTGGGTTAAGGGAACACAATGGCCTAGCGCCCTCTTTCCAGTAAGGTAGTCCTCGATTTAGCAACCACACAGTGGAGCCAAAAATTTCCGTTGCTAAGCAAGACAGTTGTTAAGACAGTTTTGCCCCATTTTATGAGACTTCTTGCCACAGTTGTCAAGGGAATATTGTAGTTGTTAAGTTAAGAAACAGAGGTGTTAAGTAAATCTGACTCCCCCCTTGGTTGTTAGAAGGTTGCAAAAGGGGATCAGGTGTTCCCCCCAGGACACTGAAACCGTCATAAATAGGAACCAGTTGCCAAACGTCTGAATTTTGATGGTGTGACTATGGGGAGGCTGCAACAGTTGTAAGTGTGAAAAAGAGTCATGTCACTTTTTTTAGTGCCCTTGTAATTTCAAACAGGCCCTAAACAAATGGATGTAAGTTGAAGACTACCTGCAAATCCTGAATGTGGGTTAGGAGAGCACAGTTATTACATATCCTGCTTTTTCCAATAATGAGAGTTTAATGCAATGTCTTGATGGACTGAAAAAGCATCTCACTCCCAATTTCGCCTGGGTGCCTCTCTACTTCTTCTTATTCTTTCTCCAGGACATGTTTTGGGTTGCTTTCTAATGACCCAGCAGCTGAAGATGGCTTGTTTGTTTTGTCCCTCGCAGGTTTGACCGCATGGGGGCAGGTGGCCCCCTTTTTATCGACGTCACTTGGCATCCAGCTGGCGATCCAGGCTCCGATAAGGAGACCTCGTCCATGATGATGGCCACCACCGCCCTCAACTACTGTGGTCTGGAGACGATCCTCCACATGACCTGTTGCAACCAGAGCAGGGGAACCATCACTGCCCACCTGCAGAAGGCCAAACGATTGGGGCTGAAGAATATCATGGCGCTGCGAGGAGGTGAGGAACGCCTACAAAGGTGGTCTTTCCATCCATGGGAAGGAAGGGCCGTGTTTTCTTAACAATGGGGTCTTCTTCTCCCGCAGATCCCTTTGGGGAAGAATGGGAAGAGGAACTGGAGGGCTTCAACCACGCAGTGGACCTGGTGAAGCACATCCGTCAGGAGTTTGACGATTATTTTGACCTCTGCGTGGCAGGTGAGTAGACGGGTTTCATACAAAGCTCTCCTGATCTTCTAAAGAGGTTCCTCAAGAGCCCACCCATCTTTTTTAACCAGTGGTTGGTGCTTCTTCTTCTTCTTCAATGGCCTGGCCCAGTCTCTGCAATTTTGGGGGCAAAGCTTTCATAACCTGCTGACCTGTTGGGTTTGAGGGAGAGAAACTGGCTTAAGCTCACCCAGCTGGCTTTGTGTCTAACGAAGAACTAATTCAGCTTTCTCCATTTCTCAAGTTTCACTTCCCCCATGCTGCTTTTTATGGGCATGAAGTGAAATTTATCTTTTGTTACCTACCCAATGATACACACCGGGTCTCCATCTCCGTCCTGGTATGTTATGACTCTCTTAAGACAGGGGTCTTCAAACTTGGCCCTTTGATGACTTGTGGACTTCAACTCCCAGAGTTCCTCAGCCAGTGTGCCTGGCTGAGGAATTCTGCGAGTTGAAGTCCAGGGGTCTTCAAACTTGGCCCTTTTGTGACTTGTGGACTTCAACTCCCAGAGTTCCTCAGCCAGTGTACCTGGCTGGGAGTTGAAGTCCACAAGTCACAAAAGGGCCAAGTTTGAAGACCCCTGCTCTAAGAAAACCAGACGGCACAACCACTCCGTATGCAAGTCTCTAGAGAGAGATTTGTGAATTTCACCCAGGTTTTGAAGTTTTAATTCAGAAAAACCTCCGTTCTGCATTCTTCCTGGGTCCCGGATGACCTGGGGGGGGGGGAAGAGGAGCCCTTTGAGACCAAGGAAACTAGGGTCCCCCAATCACAAAGTCTCTGCTTCTGCAGGCCGAGTGGAGGAAAATAAAGGCGAGGTCCCAGAAACCACAAATCAAATCTTGTAAAACGGGTTTGTCCTAACTGTCAATTATGCGGAGGCTATTTTGATAAGAACAAGGGTGAAACCAGCCTGGACCTCACCGTTTCTGTCTTTTATTTGGAAGGCTATCCTGGGGGCCACCCAGAGGCCGAGAGCTACGAGGAGGACTTGAAACACCTCAAGGAAAAAGTCTCCGCCGGGGCAGATTTTGTCATTACTCAGCTATTTTTCCGGACGGAGACCTTCCTCAAATTTCTAAGGGATTGCCAGGACATCGGGATCAGCTGCCCCGTGGTGCCAGGGATATTTCCCATCCAGGTAAAGGTGTCCCACATACAGGTAGTCCTCAACTTACAACAGTTCATTTAGTGCAGGGATAGGCCACCTTGGCTCTTTTAGGACTCGTGGACTTCAACTCCCAGAATTCCTGAGCCGGCATGGCTCAGCTTGGAAACCTCTCCCTTTCCCCTCAGCGTGGCTGGCTGAGGAATTCTGGGAGTTGAAGTCCACGAGTCATAAAAGAGCCAAGGTGGCCTATCCCTGGTTTAGTGATTGTTCAAATTTGCAATGACACTGAAAAAAGAGACTTATGACCATTTTTCACACTGATGACCGTTGCAGCATTCCCGTGGGTCACGTGATCAAAATTCAGACGCTTGGCAACTGACTTGTACTTATGATGGTTGCAGTGTCCTGTGGGGGGATCACGCAATCCCCCTTTTGCGACCTTCCGACAAGCAAAGTCAGTGGGGAAGCCAGATTCGCTTAATGATCACGTTACTAACTGAACAACTGCAGGGATTCACTTAACACCTGTGGCGGGAAAGGTCGTAAAATGAGGCAAAGCTCACTAAATGGCTATCTTGCTTAGCCAGAGACGTTTTGGACTCCGCTGTGGTCATATGTCATAATGTACCTGTATTATAAAAGGGGAATTGTAATACCACAAGGCCAGAGTCACCTTGAACCACGAGATGGGAGGTAAATGAATTTAATAAATTAAATAAATAAACCCATTCAGGTAGTCTCTATATCAGGGTTTCCCAATTGCAGCCATTTTAGAAATCTATGGAGTTTCTCAGTCATCCAGATCATGGTTGTCCCAGAGGTGCTTTTTCAGGAGGCAACTGGACTTCCTTGTTTTTCCTTTGAAGACATTTCACTTCTCAGCCAAGAAGCTTCTTCAGCTCTGACTGGATGGTGGGGAATGGAAGGATTTATACTCCTTGAAGACAGCTGGTCATTTGCATCCTTTTAGAGCCGGGGTCTTCAAACTTGGCCCTTTGATGACTTGTGGACTTCAACTCCCAGAATTCCTCAGCCAGGCACGCGTGCCTGGCTGAGGAATACTGGGAGTTGAAGTCCACAAGTCATCAAAGGGCCAAGTTGGAAGACCCCTGTTTTTAGAGAGTCCTTGAGGCCATTTGGAGGTTTACCTGTGTCCTCAGGGTCACCTGAGCGATGCAAATGGGTGTGGAGTCTTTTTGGCTCCAGGATGTTTTTCTGCCCTGGATCCTTTCACGGTTGAAGACGGGCGCAGACTGTTGGGGATGAGTCTGGGTGGTCTGCCTCTCCAACTGAAGTGCAAATGGTTCCTGGAGTCCGCCATGTTTTCTGGAAATCTGTCCTAACCATTTTAGCTGTAGCCTTTTCCACTCTCAGTCAGCCATTTTGGTTCCTTTCAGGGCTACCATTCTCTCCGCCAGCTTGTGAAGCTCTCAAAATTAGTGGTGCCTCAGGAAATCAAGGACGTCATTGAGCCCATCAAGGACAACGATGCGGCCATCAGGAACTACGGCATTGAGCTGGCCGTCAAGATGTGCCGAGAACTCTTAGACAGCGGCCTGGTCCACGGTCTGCATTTCTACACCCTGAACCGCGAGGTGGCCACCCTGGAGATCCTCCGACGGTTGGGCCTCTGGAAAGAAGACCCGAGGTGGGTCTGTCCAGAAGGTGGGATGGCTGGACACCTGGGGCTCAGCCTTGGCTTGGTGAACAACTCACAGTGGTCTCATTTGTAAAGCACGCTGAGCCGTAAATCATGGTTAATCACCCTAATGTCTGGATTGGCCTATTCCACCCGAGCCAAAGGAAATTTGATCTTGGCCAGGGGTCTCCAGACCTGGTCACTTTAAGACTTGTGGACTTTAAGCTGGGTAGGGAATTCTGGGAGCTGAAGGCCACAAGGCTTAAAGTGGCCCAGTTTCTGAGGAATTCTGGGAGTTGAAGTCCACGAGGTTTAAAGTGGCCCAGTTTCTGAGGAATTCTGGGAGTTGAAGTCCACAAGGCTTAAAGTGGCCCAGTTTCTGAGGAATTCTGGGATTGAAGTCCACAAGGCTTAAAGTGGCCCAGTTTCTGAGGAATTCTGGGAGTTGAAGTCCACAAGGCTTAAAGTGGCCCAGTTTCTGAGGAATTCTGGGATTGAAGTCCACAAGGCTTAAAGTGGCTCAGTTTCTGAGGAATTCTGGGAGTTGAAGTCCACAAGGTTTAAAGTGGCCCAGTTTCTGAGGAATTCTGGGAGTTGAAGGCCACAAGGTTTAAAGTGGCTCAGTTTCTGAGGAATTTTGGGAGTTGAAGTCCACAAGGCTTAAAGTGGCTCAGTTTCTGAGGAATTCTGGGAGTTGAAGTCCACAAGGTTTAAAGTGGCTCAGTTTCTGAGGAGTTCTGGGAGTTGAAGTCTGTAAGTCTTAAAGTGGCCAAGTTTGGAAAGCCTTGCTCTTGGCTATGGGGAATACTACCTAATAACTTTGACCTCACTTCCCCTTTAAGTGGGAACCATTTTAATTTTTCTGCCCCTGATGTCTCCCACGCCAGGCGTCCGTTGCCCTGGGCCATCAGCGCTCATCCCAAACGGCGAGTCGAAGACGTCCGGCCGATTTTCTGGGCATCCCGGCCAAAGAGCTACATCTATCGGACACAGGAGTGGGACGAGTTCCCCAATGGACGATGGTGAGTGTAGTCCTCTGGCAGTCAGGCCTCATTGAGGCAAAATGAAATAGATGGCACGGCAGAATGGTTGTGCTTAAAACAAATTCATGTCATATACAGATAGTTTCTCAGTTTATGACCCACAATTATGCCCAAAATTTCTGTTGCTAAGCGAGACATTGGTTAAATGAGTTTTGCCCTTTCTTGTCCCGGTTGTTAAGTGAATCTGGCTTGTCAATTGACTTCACTGGGCAGAAGGCCGCCAAAGGGGATCACCTGACCACGGGACACGCAACCGTCATAAATATGTGGCCGAGCATCTGAATTTTGACCGTGGGGATGCTGGAATGGTCGTAAGGGTGAAAAACTGTCAAAAGTCACTTTTTTCAATGCAATTGAAATTTTGGTCACTAAATGAATCTTCGTAGGTGAAAGACTACCTGTATCTACTACCTGTATCTAGCTTTCTGCTAGTGATGGCAAAAAGTCCATGCCCTTAATTTAAACATTAATGTAAAGGCTCTCCGGCCACAATCAACCCGAGCAGGCAGTGAGCTCGGCGCAAGTGGCTAGATTCTGCACAGCAGCATTGGGGATTTGCCAGAAACCTGAATAAAATATTGTAGATCTTTTTAATAATCTTTTATAATTAATTTTATTACGTGTTTTTATCCAGCATTAGACTACACTCAATGTATTTTTATTGTCAGGTCAGTATGATTCAGTTTTTCTGAATCTGGGTTTTGTTATTCTATCTGTAAAACTAGGCAGACCTTGATCACCCTTTGATTACATCATTAATTTGTAATATGTTGCTTGGTCTTCTTTGTTCTGTTTAGTTTTGTTTTATTTGAATGTTTAATTTATGTGTTGGCCTATGGCTGTAATAATAATAAAGGACAAGGACACAATCAAGCAAAGCAGTTGTAAGGACCCACTTCAACCCCTCATCTTAAGAAAGCAGAACTTTTGGAAACCATTTCTTCCAACAGGAACTTTTATTAAGAGTAGTTGATAGCAGGCATAATAGACAGGATCTGAGGGATTCTTTACAGATCGATACTTTAAAGGGTCCCTAAGCAAACCCCACCCCACAGTTCATCTGGACGGTTCAAAACTGGCCAATCCCCAGGTGTTAAGTCCATCGTGGGAAAGGGGAGATAACATCGGTCCGGCTCCATTTGTAGCACGATGTTCAAGCAGCTCTTCTCATCTCCTTTTGAGAACGGAGAAATAGGCCAGGCTCCGGAGGTTTGTATTTCTCCCTCCCCCCCCCTTTCCTAGCTGCCTGGTTAGAGAGAAGAAAGTTCAAAGAGATGCATAGTGCAGGAGAGAATTTGTTACACTGTAATGGGCAGCAAACACAGAGGCAATAAACAAAAGGTTACATTGTAGCGAATAGAGGAAGTGAAAGCCATAATCCCGCAGGCATATTCCCCCCTCCCCCTTGGGAGTATGGCAGAACCCAGGGAAAGGTGAGATTTGGTTTTAGATCAGAGGAGATAGATAGAAAATGGGTTTCTTTTTTCTCTTCAACATGCCAATTCTCCCCCAAATCTCCAGGGGCAACTCTTCGTCCCCCGCCTTCGGGGAGCTGAAAGACTACTACCTTTTCTACTTGAAAAGCAAATCTCCCCGAGAAGAGCTCCTGAAGATGTGGGGAGAAGAGCTGAGCAGTGAGGAGAGCGTTTACGAAGTCTTCAGGTGCTACATTGCTGGGGAGCCCAACAGAAACGGACACAAGGTGAAAATTCATGAAGAGCATGGACCTTTTCTGGTAGAAGGAGAAGAAAGATGGATGTTGGCCATGAGAAGACCAAGCCAAAATGGGCTCCTTTGATCTAATGTTCCTTCTCCAGCAATGTAGCTCAACCTTGGTCACTTGAAGATGGATGGACTTCAACACCCAGAATTCCTTGGCTAGTTGTGCTGGCTGGGGAATTCTGGGAGTTGCTGTGAAGATTCTCCATCATCCAGGTCATGGTTGTCCCAAGGGTGGTTTTTCAGGAGGCAAGTGGACTTTCTTTTTCTTTGAAGACGTTTCGCTTCTCAGCCAAGAAACTTCTTCATCTTTGACTGAGTGGTGGAGAATAGAAGGATTTATACTCCTTGCAGACAGAGAGTCATTGAGACCAATTGGAGATTTATCTGGGTCCTCAGGGTCACCTGAGTGGTGCAAATGAAGCACATTCACCTGAGCACACATTTGCACTACTCAGGTGACCCTGAGGACACAGGTAAACCTCCAGGTGGCCTCAACCACTCTACAAAAGAAGGCAAATGACTGGCTGTCTGCAAGGAGTATAAATCCTTCTGTTCCCCATCATCCAGTCAGAGCTGAAGAAGCTTCTCTGATGCAAAGCGAAACGCCTTCAAAGAAAAAAACAGGAAAGTCCAATTGCCTCCTGAAAAAGCACCTTTGGAATTCTGGGAGTTGAAGTCCACCCATCTCCAAATGACCAGGTTGAGGAACACCCTTCTATAACTTCGATCTCTTGTCCTTTTCCACAAGGTCACCTGTTTGCCATGGAACGATGACCCTCTGGCTGCTGAGACCAACCTCATGAAAGACGAGCTGGTTAAAGTCAACAGGAGAGGCATCTTGACCATCAACTCCCAACCTAGCATCAACGGAAAGCCTTCCACGGACCCCATCGTGGGTTGGGGTCCAGAAGGCGGCTACGTCTTCCAGAAGGTAGCCTCCTTCACCGACATGGTTGAGTCTTTGTTTCTCTCCCTCTGGGTCAGTCTTGACCCCTGGAAAACTCCCAGGAGTTTCCTTTGGAAGTGGTTGATCATTGCTTGCTTCCCGGGGCTGAGAGAGGGGGAGTGGCATAAGGTCGCCCAGCTGGCTTTGTGCCTAAGGAGAGGGAACCTCAAAGCCTCAAACGATTAGCCATTCGGAAGAACAGGGAAAAGGGGATTTTGGTTATTCTTAAAATCATTAAAGCAAGTGGCACAGAGATTAAACAGTATTAGAGAACCTCAGAGAGGAATCAGCCCTCATTACAAGCCTGTTTTTGCTACTGGGAGGCCCATAAATGATACCCCAGAGCAGGGGTAGGCAACCTTGGCTCTTTTATGATTCGTGGACTTCAACTAGGAATTCTGGGAGTTGAAGTCCACGAGTCATAAAAGAGCCAAGGTTGCCTACCCCTGCCCCAGAGAATCCCTGTTGGCAATTTCCTCCCCCTATTAAAACGAATCACAAAAAAGCTGTAACAACCTCAAACACAATGAGTATGGGCTTAATTGTATGCATCCATAATTCATAGTTCAATTCATCCCTAATTCCCATCACCAAACAATGCAGCACAAAATAATTGTGTTCTCACCGCCTCTCTCCTCACAGCCTAATGAGATTAAGAAGAAACCTCGCTGCTTAAATATCTTTTACAATACACACACACACAGAGAGATGCAGAGAAGCTGTGTTCACACAACACCCTGTGGGAAGTCAGCCCACCCAGAAAAGGAAATATTAAAAGGGCTGAAAAATATATTTTCTCAAAAGGCAGGAAGAGGCAGGAAAGCATGCCCAGTTTTTCTTAATAGCCCCAGGTCTCCCTTCCCCAAGCAGAAAACAGCTCTATAGAGATGCAGATGTAAATCCAGGGAGCTAGGAGATTAAGAAGACAAAGAGCTAATATCTACATACCCCATCCAAACTCTAAGAGCCATCAGCCCCAGGGAAGCAGGGTATGACCTTTGGACATAATAAGATTGACCCATCACCATCAGAATACCAGCAAGGCACACTCAGACTCAGGTCAAAGTTCATGCCGCAGGAACAACTCCAAACAAAAGGCTCCATAGGGTATAAAAACCCACTCCCTACATGTGCTCAGTCCTTTTTTTCCCCCACTTCTCTTTTCTGCCAGAGCCATCTTTCTGTCTGGCTCTCCTCTCCAATAAACTACAACCTTCTTTCTAAAGCAGTTGCCATGTTTATCCCCGGCTTGGACTGAACCAGGATGAAGACTTTTCTTCCAACAACCCTTAACCCAACTTTGTTTAGAGCGAATCTTGGCTAGGATTATTATTTCAGCTCGTCGGTTGTGCTAACCCAGTTGGTTTGGTGGATCAGCAGAGCGGGAGCTCAGAAAATTGGTTTGGTCAGGAAGCAGCTGGAAAAATACATTTTTTTTATTTAGCTTTCTTAAAAACAGCAGCCACTCGCAAGGTTGTTTCAATCTCCTCAACTTTTAAGATGTGTGGACAGAATAAAAAAATTGCCTTTTCTCTCTTCTGACCTTTAGGCTTACCTGGAGTTTTTTACCTCCGCTGAGAACATCAAGGCTCTTCTCACAGTTCTGAAAAAATACGGACAGCGAGTGAATTACCACATCGTCAACGTGAAGGTATTGGGGGATTTCTCAGCCCCCCCCCTCAAAAGCCAGCATCTCCCATTGATCAGCGAATAGAATCAGCTCAGCTCTGCTTGGCTAGAAAAATAATAATAATAACAGGATAAGAGAATTGGAAGGGAGGTCTTCTAGTCTGACCCCAGCTCAAACGGGAGATCCTATTTCAGACAAATTGTCTCGTATCTTCTTGAAAATATATTGAGGGGGTTCTTGCTGCTCTCTGAGCTTGCTTTTTTTCTTGCAGACGTTTCATTAGCCTAACTGGGTAACGTCATCAGTGCTAGTAAGGAGTGTTGTTTGCTGCCTGTTTATATTCTGGTGTCTGGCCTGTCTGTGTGAATGGGGGACAAATTCTTTGGTTGGGTTCTTTAGTAGCTTCTTGCTTGCTTGCTGGTCTGAAGGTGAACTTGGAGTTAGTCTATGCCAGTGGTGGCGAACCTATGGCACGGGTGCCAGAGGCGGCACTCATATCCCTCTCTGTGGGTACGCGTGCCATCACCCCAGTCCTAGGCCTTCAGCTGGGTTTTATAAAACCTTTTCACTTTAGGCCTCCACCACCGTGTGCAAAAAAAAAAAAGGTTCACTTAATCAATCAATTTCAACTTCTCGCGGGGAAAAAAAAGATCTTTCAGAGTTGGAATTGATTGATTGAACTTTTTAGTCCCACCCAGTCTGCTGCAGTCTGCTGCAGCCACACCCAGCCAATGGGCCACGCCCACCCGGCACCCGACGATGCATAAGTGGGTTTTGGGTTGCAGTTTGGGCCCTCGGTCTCTAAAAGGTTCGCCATCACTGTTCTATGCTGATCTGAGTGCTGATTACTAGTGGAGAATTGCTGCACTCCTTTTGTTCTCTTTTGGGCTGGTGGATTGTCTCTTTTGCATAGTCTACAGACGTTGTTAATACCTATGTGTCTGTTGATGGCTGATTTGGAAATATATCCCCTTATATATATTTATGTAGAACTGAATAGAATAGCAGGGTTGGGAAAGATCTTGGAGGTCTTCTAGTCCAGCCCCTGCTTCAGCAGGAAACCTTAAACCAGGGATGTTGAACCTTTGAGAGACCGAGTGCCCAAACTGCAACCCCAAACCCACTTATTTATCGCCGGGTGCCAGGTGGGCGTGGCTGTGGTGGTCATGACAGACTAGATGGGTGTGGCCAAGGCAGGCGTGGTCACCTCGATGTTGCTCGTGGGGAGGGACACCTGTGGGGGCCGGGCAGGGTTGGGGGAGATCCAGGGGGTCTCTGGCAGGTGGGGCGGTGGGCAGGAGGCTCATCCTGCAGGGTGAGTGAGGCAAGACGAGGCGAGGCAGGGTGGGAGTGCCACTGTCGCAGGGTGAGGCGAGGCAGGGGCGGCCACTGCCTGACACCATCGGCCCCCTCACACAGAGCCGACGGTGTCCATCAGCAGCCACAGCCTGCCAGCCCCTCGACCGGCACACTCTGGGGCTCCGCAGCCTGCCCCCAGCAGTTCAGAGAAGCCGCCTCTGAGCTGGACGGCCGGCCGACAGCTGAGGAGGCGATGCAGTGGGTTGTGCCTGGGAAAAGGAGAGCATGCGAGGCCAGGAGGGATGGGACAGGGGGGAGGGAAGCCAGCCATGCTGGGATGCATCTTGGCGAGTTAGCAGGTGGCGGGTGGCAGAGGGACGGTTGCCATCTCTGGGGCATGGCGCGCGTGCCCACAGACAGGGCATAGGTTCGCCACCACTGCCTTAAACCATTTCAGACAAATGGTCATCCACTCTCCTCTTAAAAGCCTCCAGTGATGGAGCACCCACAACTTCTGGAGGCAAGGCGTTCCACTGGTTAATTGTTCTCACTGTCAGGAAATTTCTCCTTCTCTCCTGGATGAGTTTCCACCCGTTGCTTTTTGTCCTGCCTTCAGGGGCTTTGGAGAATAGCTTGACTCCCTCTTCTTTGGGGCAGCCCCTGAGATACGGGAAGGCTGCTATCCTGTCCCCCCTCGTCCTTCTTTTCATTAAACTAGACAGACTCAATTCCAGCAACCGTTCCTCATATGTTTTAGCCTCCAGTCCCCTGATCATCTTTGTTGCTCTTCTCTGCACCCTTTCCAGAGTCTCAACATCTTTTGTATATTGTGGCGGCCATAACTAGATGCAGTGTTCCCAAAGATGCTTTTTCGGGAGGCAGCTGGCCTTTCTTGTTTTCCTTGAAGACGTTTTGCTTCTCATCCTGAAAGGACCATGTTGTAGACTTGGAGATAGATGACGTCCATCTATATCCCTCCCCCTCTGTTGAGAGAGGGCTGTTCAGTTTTGACCTAGATGGCCTCTTTGACCCCTCTTTCAAACCAGCGGTCTCCTCTGTCCAAAATGTGGACTTCGCTGTCTTCGAAAGAGCGGCCTTCAACAATTCCAAGAAGGCTCCGCACTCAATTGCACCACTCAGGTGACCCTGAGGACACAGGTAAACCTCAAGGACTGTCTAAAAGAAGGCAAATAACCAACTGTCTGCAAGGAGTATCAATCTTGCCATTCCCCACCATCCAGTCAGAGCTGAAGAAGCTTCTTGGAGGAGAAGTGAAATGTCTTCAAAAGAAAAACAAGAAAGTCCAGTTGCCTCTTGAAAAAGCATATTTGGGACAACCATGACCTAGATCGGGTCTGCAACCTTAAACACTCAAAGAACCACTTGGATCCGTTTCCCAGAGAAAAGAAAACACTGGGAGCCGCAAAACTTGTGCACGCGCGAGGGGGGGGGGGAGCTTGATTGAAGAGCTTAATTAAAAAGAAATAGAGGCTGCTGTGCATGAGTTCTCTCTCTCTCCCTCTTTTTCTCTCCTTTTTTCTCTCTCCC